TCTGTAACTTAGGAACTAAAACTCTTATCAATTCACTCTACCTTATTGTGCTCAAATAACAGATGATTCCTTAAGAAATTATTTAAAAATAATTTTATAAGTGAATGTTAAATAGAAAAGACCGCTAATCATTAGGAAAATTTTCTTATTTATAGGGATTATTAAAAGAATTAATTATTAAAGGAATATTAAAAATTGTCTAAGATATTTGCTCATCCCTTTGAGATACACAATATGATTCTTCAGTGAAGAAAGCCTTAAGAGGTAGACTAGTCAGGCTCTTCAGTCTTTTTGTAGAAGTAGGAATCTTTATTTGAGATTGAAGATTGAAAAACATATCTTAGGATAAGAGGCTCAGTTTAACTCTGAGTCATATTTTACTAGTTGTTATCCATCCCCTGTGTTTATTTAGTGAGTTAGGACAAGTCAGAATTGGACAAATTCTCTGTCACTGGAAGACTGAGGTTTGTTCCTGTCTGGAAGTTTGTTCAAGCGTGAGTCCACTGATTGAGGGAGTGATTGTGGTCTGCCAGGGGTGCTGTGTGAAAAAGGAAGTCGTTTCTCTGAACAGCCTTGTTTGTGTTTTTGAAAACTGTTTCGGTCCATGTCCTGTTTCCATTCCCAGGCCCAGCCCTCCCAAAGTAAACAGATGACAAGTCGTGGTGGTGGGCAGTGGTGATGCAAGGGTGGGGAGGATGGAAGTGGAGAAAGAAAAGAGATGTCCCCAGGGCAAGAAGGTTTCAAAGAACCCAAAGCAATTTGGAATAAACTCAAGTACCAAAACCAGATGGGATTTTCAGCATCAAGATCAGTCTGATCTATTAGCATAGTATAGACTCACAGAAATTCCATGTACTTATTTTGAAATTCAAACACTGATGGACATTCTTATACTAAATTCCAGCTAGTTTAATGGCTAGCAGTGACTCTCTGGCATATGAGCAGGTGCCCCTCTGACCCCATACATTTTATTCATCTACTGTACGTGTCCAGAAAGCTCATTTGTTCTGATTATTTTCTAGAAGAACAGACCCTGAGCTCCCTTCACTCTAATTTGGGTACTAAGGAGTCTGAAAAGTTTAAAAAAAGAGGAAGAAGAAGAGTGATAATGAACAGAAAAGGAAAAAAGGAAACAAATGCATTGAGAAAATAAGTTTCCAAAATTTTAACTAAATCTGGAAAATAAGTCAACATTTAGAATTTCCCTTCTTTCCAAGTCTACTTCCAGGAACTTAGATGACCTCATTTGGATTATAACATTCTGTTTCTACAAAAAAGGAATTGTAATATTTGATTCAGTAACATAGTACCTCACAAAAATATCTCACTTATATGTGTGTCTACCAAAATACATGTAACTAAAAATAGCAGTAATATGCCATCCCTCTCTTTAAAAGCAAGAAATTCTATTTTATTAAATTTCCAATTTATACTGAAAACAGTTGTCAAAAATTTAGTTGGTCACCTATTTCAGTATCAGCAGTTTCCATAACTCCCCCACAAATACCTTTTATATTGCAAAAGGGAAAATTCTGTCTATAAGGAAGAAGTCTGGTGAAAGCTTTTCAACCAAGGGATCACATTTGACATCAAAAATCATGAACACCTTTTGCTTCCAGACATAATGCACTAAAGACACTAGCACGAGGTAACATTCCTGCCCAAAATATAAAACACTGATCTATCATAAAGAATGTTGAGACAAAACCAAATTTAGGAATAGTCTACAAAAAGACCTGGACTCTTCCTAAGTGTCAGCATTATTTGAAAAATGCTGAAGAACTGATCAACAAACACAGGACTAAAGAGAAAAAAAAGAAGAATGAAAAAGTGCAATTAATGATTGTGTAATTAATGATTCTGCGTTGGACCTTAAAGAAATATTTTTAAAGGCTACTGAAAATGTGAGAAAAAAATCAATTAATCTGTAAAGAAAGCAAGTTTTGGGCCCTCCCTGGTGGCGCAGCGGGTTAAAGCACAGCACTAAGAAGCTTAAACCACTTCCGCATGAGTTCAATTCCCGCCTGCCCCGGAGGAGATCCACATGGAAAGGCAGACCCCTCCTGACCGGCCCGCTGCTCCCCTCAGCAGTGTACTTCGTAGATCTGCTTGCTCTGCTCCCTGCTCTGTCTCTGGTGAGTCCTCACCCTCCGCATCTCTGGCCTGTACCCTAGTTCTGTAGGAATAAATAAAATCTTTAAAAAAAAAAAAAAAAAAGAAAGCAAGTTTTGTATCAGTTATAAAATTCTTAACTTTAGCTAAGAGAGTTACTATCTTCGATCTTAAGAAAAACACCCTGAATTACTGAAAGATAAATAAGCATGATAATCACAATATACTTTCAGAAAGTTCAAGGTGAATTACTTTGGTGGTTCTCCCTGTAGTTCAAGAGATCAAGTCTCAGCACCATGAAGCTATCCGCAGCCACTGCAGCAGAGTTCAATCCCCATTCAGGGAGTTGACCAGCATGGAACAGCAGATTTTCCTGTCTCACCCACTGCTCCTCTCAGCAATGTATTTCAGTCCATCTGCTTATTCTGCTCCCCACTTTGTCTCTGGTGAGTCCTCTCACCCCTCCCCTCTCCCAACCTCACCCTGCAACTCTGGTCTACACTCCAGTATTTTTATGTAAAAATAGATAAAATATTTCCCCAAAATGCACGTACCTTAATTAAAAAGTACTTTGTTACTAAAAACTGCTAGCCTTCAACGAGTTATCTTTTTGTTGATGGAAGGTCTTTCCTCGGTGTTGATGCCTGTGTCCATCTGGATAATGATTGTTTGAAGGTTTGGGTGTCTGTACCCATTTTCAAAAATAACGCAACAGTGAAGTTTGCTGCATTGATTGACTTTCCCTTTCTTCTTTTTTTGACTTACTTATACATATAAGAGCTGGGGTACAAGTCAGAGGTTTGTGGGGAGAGTAGTGAGAGGACTCAGAAACAGAGTGGGGAGCAGAATAGGCAGATTGATAAAGTACACTGCTGAGGGGAGCAGTGGGTGAGATAGGAGAGGTCTGCTGCACCATGTGAGTCACCTCCCTGTCCCAGGATCAAACTCAAGCTGCAGTGGCTGCTGACAGCCTCATAGTGCTGCACTTAAACCCTTTGCACCACCTGGAAGGTCCTGACTTTCCCTTTTATGAAAAATTTCTCTATGTCTGTGATGCTCTTGGATAGCATTTTACCTAGTCATCCTTTCAAACTTGCTGCTGCTTTGTCTACTATATCATGCAATATTCTAAAACACTTGTTGCCCTTTCCAATGTTCACAACATTTCAGCAGGAGTAGATGCCATTTCAAAAAACCACTCTGCTCACCTGCAAGAAGCCAAGTCTTCATTTTGTGGAGTTTTTTGCATAAAAATACAGCAATCAGTTTTATCTACAGACTACAATTCTAAGTCTTCTCTTGCTATTGCCTCTGCTGGTATCTTGAGCCTCTCAAAATTATCCACAAGGAATGGAATCAATTTAATCAAGCTCTTGTGAATGCTGACTTTTTCTTCCTCCCACAAATTACCAATATGCTTAATGGCATTTACTATGATGAACCTTTTCAATTTACTTTACATCACAGGAATCACTGACGGCTGTGCCCTTACAAAATGTATTTCATAAAAACTTTCAATTTGAGTCAAAATTACCCCTTGATCCATGAGCTGCTGTTAGCAGTCAAAAACATCATTAATTTCCTTGTACAGCTCTGATGGACTTCATGAATGACCAGGTACATTATCAATGAGCAGTCATTTTTGAAAAAAAAAATTGTTTTGAGTGGTAATTCCAACAGTGGCTTAAAATAATTAGTGAACCAAGCTGTAAACAGATATACTGACTGGCTTCTGGAAACATCCAGGCTTTGTTATTCCATTCAAAGAACAGAGAGAAGATTTGGCATTATTGTTAAGGGCCATAGAGTTTTCAGAATGGCAAATAAACATTGGCATCAACTTAATGTCACCAACTTTAGCCCTTAACAAGCAAGTCAGCTTGTTTTTGGAAGCTGAATCAGGCCATGATGTCTCCTCTTTAATTATGGAAGTCCTAGGTGACATCTTTCAAAATAAGGCTGGTCCGCATTGAAAATGTGTTGTTTAGTGTATCCATCTCTACCCATTATCTTAGTAATTCCTTTGGATATCTTCTAGCAGCTTCTACGTGAGCACATTTGCTGCACTTTGATGTGCAGAAAGCTAGAACTTTGACTCCACAGCTTCTTCACCTAAGCCTTCATAAAATTTAAGCACAGTGGGCTTTGGTCTAGATGAGCCTTTGGCTTAAAGGAATGTCATGGCTGGTTTTAGCTTCTGTCCAGACTATTAAAGCTTTCTTCATATAAACAATAAGGCTGTTTCATTTTCTTATCGTTTGTTTATTTACTGAAGTGGCACTTTTCATTTCCTTTAAGAACAGTTTCCTGCTCTCACAACTTGGCTGTTGGACCCAATTGCCTAGATTTTGGCCAGTCTAGACTTTTAATGTGCCTTCTTCACTCAGCTTAATCATTTCTGACTTTTGATTTAAAGTGAAAAATATGTGAACTTCCTGCACTTGGACACCTAGACATCACTGTAGGTATGAGTTGTTCTTATTTCAAAATTGCACTTTTTTATACATCTCTGCAAAATATATATGTTGGCACAATGCATTCACTGAAATTCTTGAATGAAGGTAATGTGTATATTTCAACAATGTATAGTCTAATAACAAAATTAGTAAGTGTAATAATTTATTGTTTTAATAAATAATTGCCAGACATGAAGTTTTTTGACAAAACTGATTAAATTTCAAAGTGAGAATCACCCTCCTATTTAATGATAGGTAGAATATAGCCAAAGATATAAGTACAGAAGGTAGTAAGTACAGAAGGTATAACATAATATGATCTGTTTAAAAAATAAATGTAAAAATAATACATATCCATAAAAATGAAAAAGAGATGCGAATGATAAAAATTATGAAGTTAATGAAAAAATAATACGATTTTTCATCAAAAAGAAATCATGTGCATTTTGCCCCGATTATTTTATATATTAAGTTAAATGATGGTTAAATGATGGTTTCAAATGTGGGTAAATAAGTCTTCAGCTGCAAAATTTCAGAGATAGGCTGAGATCTTTCCTGATAAAAGTCAAGTCCAGTAAGAAGTTCTACATCACGGACACGGGCAACATGTGCTTCCAATCGTTCTTTAACCCAAATGGATTCAGGTTTATCTCCCTGAAAAAGAAAAAGCACTTTATGTAAGACTTTCAACAGGAATTGTTTTTTAATAAATATGTGATATATAAACTTGAATTCCCATTTTCAATGAGAACTGAATGATCTTTAAATTTTGTCCCAGTTGGCTTATATTATTCTCCTCTCTCATGGATTACTTGGTACCCATCCAAGTAAATGTTCGGTGAACATCTGAGTATTTTCCCTCTTTTAAAATTTTAATTCTCTAAAGTACAAATTTAATCATACTTAGGCAGGGGTGAAAGTCGAGCTAGTTAACATAAGGTTGCTCACCATCACCAACCCACCTGCAAAGCAACGACCTAGAGGCAACTTTCCCGACTGTACCAGTGCATCCGCACAGAATGGCAGTCTTTTCTATAAAGTTTTTATGGTCAATATTAAAATAGTTAAAATTTGGTTTGATTATAGGATATTTTACCTGCATACAATTTCACTTTGTGTTGACTTTATAATCCATCCATCCATCATGAGATGTGATTCTTTTAAACAGCTATCATGTGCTTATTACTTATTGGAGATTAAGTTTTTATATAAAATAGCTTGTTTTTAAGTTTTTATATAAAATATCTTGTTTAATCCTCAGAGCAGCTATATGAAAGGAGGGAAATTCTTTTATACAACTGTGAAAAGTGACATTTACCCAAAGAGGTCAGGACAATGACTGAATCCACTATGTCCAATGAACTCAGAATCTCAGTTCTGTTCTATACTGCCTTTTATATATCTGCCTTGATATATCTGAAAATGATCTTTTAATCTGAAGAGCAAATGCATAAAGAAGCAGGAGACAATGAAATTTGAGATTAATTTTCTAAAGCCCTGATAGAAAGCAGTAAGGGTCTAGAACAGGAAGAGCAAATACTTTCTTTTTAGAAACCCATTTAATCAATCTATGATAGCTATCCAGAACTGTGATAAAGAATTGTTTAATCCTGATTTTTGTGGTAAAAAGTACCACACTGTACCAGGAACTCTTCCATTGGAAGAGTAAGTGAAGGAGGATGACATTCTTTTTTCTCAACTAAATAAAACAATGACAAGAACAACAGGAAGAAATCGAACTAGACAACAACTTCTGATCACTTCCTGCTTGGAAACTCTTCCTCTTCTAGCGCTATGAGTGACCCATTGCTCAACCTCTAAACTTCTACTTTAACCACTGAAAAAGTATTCAAGTTCAAATCCTATCATCAAGACTCAGCTAGAATACCCTATGGCCTATAGGAAGCCTTTCTCCTCCAAAGCTCCAGCTACTTATCTTTCTTACTCTACTTCCCTAGAGTATTTTCTAAATGCTAGAATGTGAGTCCCTTTAAATAGGAATTATGCCTGATTTATATCCAATAGAACACAGTATGATGAATGCACTTAAGTGTTGAAGAACTAAAAGAAAACAGATGTACCAAATCTGGTATAGAACTTTAAATTCCAGTCCTAATAGCCTATGAGACTTTCCATATGAACAACTATTTCCACAAACTTAACGTGCCTATATTTAATTATCTTATCTAGCTGCCAAAATAGTTTTTAATCCTAGCGTCTCTTTTTCTTTTTCCTAATTACCTACATTTAAAATCTCTGATTCATCTTTAAATCTCTTTTCCTTTGACTCTAATATCCAATTGGTTACCAAGTCCTCACCAGTTTTCACTCACGCCTTCCTAATCTCCTCAATCTGTTCAGATTCTGCCCATCCTTCAGGGCCCAGCCCTCCTCCTGCCCCACTTAATGAAAGCTTTATTGATCCTCCCAGTCAAAAGTGTTCTGTATTTGAACAACTAAATCCTAATGACAGTATTTGGCAATTAATTCTGACTTTGTGACGTGTCTTACTTTTAACTTTAAAAATAACTATTGTATTACTGACTGACCCAGTTACGTGTCTCTATCTCATTTATACATCAAAGTTGTATATGATTTCCTTAAATTCCTCCTTGGTGCATTCTAATTTCTATCACAATACTGCACACTTAATAAATTCTCAATATATTTGTTGAACTACTTTAGCATAGCCCAACAACCATATAAACAACATATATGAAAATCAAAGTAGCTATTAACAGAATTTGCCTGGTCCAAAAAATTTTTTGCAGTGACTTAATAAGTGATGTTGTTATCTCTTGAAATTACTTGTTTCAAGTTGATGGAATATCACATTTATATATTAATTTACAAAACACTAATGCAGTGTCAATTTTGGTGTAAGACATCATGATTCATGTCCAGAATTTTAAAAATTAATAAATACTTTTATTCCTTCCCTTATTAATGTGAGAAAATGTATATATACACACACATATATACACACATGTGTATATACATATGTGTGCACATATATGTATATATACATGTATATACACACAATGCATATATAATGCATAAGATATTAATTGATAAACATATGTTCACGCATGGATAATTATATAGAGATCAATGTAAAAAAAAAACTAAAAAATTAGGACATTTTTAGTGCAACTATACCCATGAAACACCTAAAAAATATACCTAGACATTTCATTTCTATGAAAACTTAGGTGAACTCTGACTAACTGATTTGTTAGTTCCCGGACACTTTCCCTAAGCATACTCACAGGACAGCTCTCCACATTGGTGGGTCGGTGAGGAATGATATAGGGCAGGACATCCAATGAGCCAACACAGTTGTCAGGGGTGTAGGCCTTATTTTTGCAACTAGTCAGCACCACAAAATAGTGTGTTGGGATGGGAACGTTGGTGTTAAGTACATATCTAAAGCACAATTAAAAAGATTTGATGTTATTATACTTTCATTTCTAAAATTTACAAATATCCTTCCATTTTTTCAAAGAAATGCTAAGAGAAAAATATGGTAAAAGTTAAGTGAGTAGAAAGTACAAAGTTGTAGTGCACTGTTTTGCTTCAATGATTTAGAACAGACATTTATGGAAGAACAATTATTTTAACATTATATGAAACTAGTTATAAAGGAAAGCAAAACATTTTGTTTTGTCGACCCATGTTTCCTAATTTTGTTGATTTCTAAAAGTTCAGGACAAGGGAAATGAGTTGAGATTGCAAATCTAAGTTCTAGGTGTGCACTACCATGAGTTATTTGATGTGCATCAATCCTCTAATGTTCTATGACTTACTGAACTTCCTCAATTTTAATATGGCTATAGTTTTCTGCTACCAACTTCATGCTACAGACATGGGATCCATACAATGGATACAAGAGTTCTTTAGCTTAAGATAACAAACAAGAATGTATTTGCAGAAGTTTTAAGTGCAAAATAAAGGTAAACTATGAGTATGAATCTACTAACAGGAATGAAAGTTGGAATAAGAAATAATACATAACCGTAACTCAGAATGTCTTCATGGACTCATTCTGACTTTACCACATATTAGCTGTGAAACTTAGACAAGATATTCAAATGCTTGCGTGTTCTCTCACTTCTACATGAGGGCTAGTGGAATCTAATATGGTGTTTTATGGATTAAAAAAGTATTTAAGCGCTTAGAAATGTACCTAGCATGTAGTAAACAGCTCTCAGTGTTTGCTAGAATCATTAAAGGACAAAAGAGAATACTGAAATAAGGGAAAAAAATTTAAAAGGCTACACACTTAGTAGCCATAATGTTACTTTACCAGAGAAATTATTGCCTTTTATAATCTAGGCTTAAGTTTATATAATCTAGGCTTAGACTTGATCCTTCATACAAAGAAATGAAAGGTGAAACTCACCCTTCTACTGGGCCACAAAGGTAACACTTAGTAAAATGTTAAGACCAGGTCTAAGTTACAAAGACATATAGGTTCATCTATTTCCACATAAAACTCATACCCTTTACTGGGAGATACTTTTACGAATCATCCACCACTGGGCAATTTATGAACTGTCACATCTTGATTTTTTTTAGATCCATTGCTAGACTGTTATGTATTTACTGATATATTAACATATTTATTGATATATTGATAGTACTGAGAATCTCCCCTATCTTCTTAAGCTTTACAAATCCAGTTTTCTTTGACCCTTAATTTAGTAATGGTCCACTGATACACTTACTTTGATGGTTTCTTTTTCCCTGGATGTTTTTCTTTATCCATTGACTTGATTTTGGCCATATAAAAATTTTTTTTAAAGATTTATTTATTTATTCATGCAGAACTGGGGTACAGGCCAGAGATGCAGAGGGTGAGAAGATTCACCAGGGACAGAGTGGGGAGCAGAACAGGCAGATCGACGATGTACACTGCTGAGGGGAGCAGCAGGCAGGTCAGGAGAGGTCTGCCTTGCCATGTGGATCTCCTCCCGGGCAGGCGGGGATCGAACTCATGCGGTAGTGGCTTAAGCTTCTTGGTGCAGTGCTTTAACCCGCAGCGCCACCAGGAGGGGCCCATATAAAAAAATTTTTAAGCACTTCTCTATTTGACAATAGTCAATATTATCACTACATAAATGTGCTATATGATATTTAGAATACCCTGTTTTAACTAAAACACTGAAGTTTCCCCACAATACCTTATTTCAAAATCATCTGGTTTCAGATTACTTACTCTTTAATTTCACTTGAAGTATCAAAACGACCATCAGAATTATAATCAAATATTGGCCCACTAATCACATTTACTCCATTTCTTTCCATGGCATGTTTTACAAGAAGATCATTGTGAAGGTAATTCCATATTTCTTTAAAAATAAAAATAAAAAAAGGTTAGTCGGGTACAATTAAATAGCATCAAATTCTGCTTCAATAGTTGTCAGTGAAACTTCTACAAAATAATCCATGAAACACAAACCAAACAAACAAAAAGCACTGATAATAGATTTTTGTTCATATCTTGAACTATAGTCTTGAAATTACAGTAAAAATCTGTCTCTAAATTCCTCTCCAAGAATGGGGTTCAGTTTCTTTTGGGACAGTGAATATTAAAAAGCAGTCCAAACACACATACCTTATTAACTATGACTCTAGGGACAAGTACCTATTATTTACTTATGAGAGTCAGTAAAATTCAGTTCTATGAATGGCTCTTACATTAGGATTAAAAAGAAATTATGAAAATTCTAGAAATAATTCATCCCAGTTCCCCCCCCAAAAAAAGTTCATAAATCATTACTGTTCTTATATTTAAATCCTTAGAACAAAATGATTCATATGATTAGGAACAAAGTACAGTAAAATATTTGTTTAATTTATAATTTCAGTGACATGGGGATTTTTAAATTAAGCTAAATATATACTTACTCTTGAATTCCTTATACATAGGAACCAAATTACTTGTAATCAAAGCATCATATTGACTATCTGGAGTTCTATTATTTGCTGCAAAACAAGTGAGTTTCATTAAATCCAGCTATCAGAGAAAATGTGACATACTACATAATAGGACTAATACTATTACATAGTATGACAAATTTAATAACTGTAAGGCACAGAGATATGAAATTCCCTCCAGTCAGGGCTATCAATAATACAAGCTATTTTGTGCATTTGGTACCTGAAGTGGGTTGAATGGTGAGCCAACAAAGAGCTATGTCCAAGTAAGTGCTAATACCCCTATACTTCTAAATGTGATAGAAAAATAAGGTCTTTGCAAATATATTTAAGGTAAGGGTCTTGAGATGAAATTATACTGGATTTAGCCTTGACTGTAACTTCAGGTCCATAAGGAGAGGAAAGGAAGCCATATGAAGATGAGGCAAAGATGGAAGTAATGCAGCTATAGGTCAAGATATGAGCCCTCACAAAGTGGAGGCAGTAAGGAGGGATTCTACATTCTTTCTTCTTGAAATAAAGAATGGCCTTAGAAACACATTGATTTAGAACCATGGCCACCACCAACTGTAAGGGGATACATTTCTATTGCAGACTTAAAAATTTCCATTGCAGCTTCTGTTTAGCAAAAAAAAAAAAACGCTATAAGTGAAACAAAACAAAAAGATGCCTTACTGAGTGGGAGAAAATATTTGCACATTATAAATCTGAAAAGGAGTTATACCTGAACTCTACAAAGAGTTCACATGATTCAACAAAAAGAAAATCTTATGTAGTGTTGTAAACCAATTTACCTCAAAGAAAAAATATTTTTTAAAGATTCTAGAAAGAAGATAGTAAAGAAAAGAAAATGTGGTATGGGATATTACTCAGCTATATAAGAAGATAAACTCCTGCCACTTGCAACAACATGAATAGCCCTAGAAGGCATTATGTTTAGTTAAGTCAGACAAAGACAAACCCTCTGAGTTCATTCATATGTGGTTCATAGAAAGTATAAACAGAATAAATTAAATACAATAAACTTTTAGGCTATAAAGCCAATTACTAGCCACTAGAAGGGAAAGAGGGAGATATGGATCAATCTGGCAAATGAGGTCAACTATATAAGAGAGGATAGACTTGGAACTTAATGTGGTACAAAGTGAAATGAATATATACAGATACTGATTTATAAGCTTGTATAAGATTATAAAGCAATGTCACTTCAATGAAAGCTTTATAATAGGGCAAGAATAGTAAAATAAATAAATAAACAAACCGTAAGCTGTAATTTTTATTTCTAAACTATCCCTATCCTAGCTATCCTAGCTAATAATTCTATCAATGACCAACAGGTGAATACAAGAGGAAAGGGCAAACCCACAAAAACTGGATTCACATGCAGTGCCTGGTTAGCTGATGCCTAAGATTTTTCTACTTTGTAAAACTATTCCATGAGAGTTGGGAAAGCAAACACACATATTAAATCCTTTTCAAAAAAAAAAAAAAAATAGTAACTAGCTTAAAATAGATTTTCTAACAACTCCTTGAACTCAATTGTTTAGATATTAACTTCATTTCCTCATCAAAGCAAACATTTATATATCAACCAGTAACTTGTAATTTAAATTACAGGAACAATCTTTAAAAGAATTTTATTAGTAAGATATAAGATGTTACAATTATTTATGGTTTATCCTAGGATTTATGTAAACTTGGTAGTTCTAATTTGTGATTAGGTGCTTTATTAGAATGCATTAGTTTACTTTAAATTGACATATTACTTCCTTTCATTAAAATTTTTTTCCCCTCACTATAAATTTCAGCAGCTCTAAATTATAGATCTCTGAACTGACCTCTAGGAAGAATGATGTTTGACCAAAAAAAAAAAAAAAAAAGCCAAATATCAAGAATAAGCACATTCCCAGAAGTTGAAATTGCTGAAAATCTATGGATAAATTCATGAAAATGACATTTCCTGCTAAAAAGGGAAGAGATTAGAATTTGAGAAAAATTACAGTGGCTTTTGCTAGTTCCCATGAGAAATTTTTTTCTTAAAATTTTCAGCGTTCACTTGACTGCTTAATGCCTAGATTTAAATTGTTGGATGTCAGTTTGAGAGAATTCCAGCCTGATGTAGGCTTGAGGTAGGCCTTAACTTGGGCGGTTGCCAGGGGGGTAAAAAAATATGATTTTTTTTTTGAGTCCTTCTAAAAGGAATCTTCAATTTAAAATTAAATTTATACTCGTCAAATTCTCTTAACATCTGGCCCAGATTAAAGCTGATACGTGGTTCCTGCAAATGTATTAGTCTTTATTACAGCTGTCACATCTGGCCAGCCCACAACCACTGCAAGCCTCCTGGGTAGCTAGTTTAGCCCAAGCAGATAGTTTCAGAGAGGAGGTTATGTTTAAGGCACATGCCCACATCCAGCTGATGAGGGCTTCCCAAGCTGCTGCTCTAAAAAAAAGTTATACTAACCAGGAGGATAGAGGAAGCCGTGGGTGATATTCATGTCTGGTGTGTAGAAGGAACACTTTTGGCTCTCAGAAGGAGCAACCCTGACATCAGCCCGCAGACAGTCTGAGACATTGAGAAGAGGCGATGTGTCTCCCTGTTGAAAGAGAGGAAAGAGAAAAAAATTACTCCCACATTTGTGGCTCACCCATGGCCATATATGGTTTGTAACTTCCCTCGAATGTTTTCCATTTAACCTTTTCCTATTTTCTTAGTGAATCAGGTCTATGCAAGCAGTGGAAATGGATGTCTTCAGCAATGTTTTCTTCTGTGGTTCCCTTCTGGTTAGGGACACTAGGAAGGTAAATCAAATACACCTTGGCAAGCAGGATTTTTCAGAACAAAATCTAAACTGAGAGCAGAGGAATAAGCTACTAATAAAAGCCAGAACCTTTTCAGGATTTAACTTTTATGTGGTTGATATATGTTGTACTTACCAATAAAAACCCAAACTAAAATATAAGCAATTCATTTTTTTTTTAAGATTTATTTATGAATACAAGAACTAGGGTGCAGGCCAGAAGTGCAGGGTGGGGAGTGAAAGGATTCACCAGAGACAGAGTGGGGTGCAGAACAGGCAGATCCACAATACACTGCTGAGGGGAGCAGCAGGTGAGACCCACTGCTGAGCCACGTGGGTCACCTCCCTGGCTGGGGATCCAACTTGTGCCTCAGTTGTAGACTACAGCTTCATAGTGCTGTGCTTTAACCCCTTGCACCACTAGGGAGGCCCTAAATAAATCATTTATAAAGTACAGATGAGAACTATCTATATTATTCCTCAGTTCTAATAAACCTAAGAGTAATTAAATAAGCTATAGCTGTCTAAATTTATTTATTGAGCATTTAAATAAATCTGTAGCTATGCTTCATTTTAACTTTGGCGTATTTTCTCTGCTGAACCTTCCGCAGACTTCGCTTATCTTCATATTTTTATGATTTTCTTTGTACAACAGGGGCTCCCTGGTTGCACAAGGGGCTAAGTCTCAGCATTATGATGCAATCAGCAGCCACTGCAGCATTAGTTCCATCCCCAGCCAGGAGGCCAACCCATATGGTGAAGCAGACCTTTCCTGTCTCCCGTTACTCCCTTCAGCAGTGTATTTCAGTGGATTTACCTGTTCTGTTTCATACTCTGTCTCTGATGAACCCTCTCACCCTCCTGTACCTCGGGCCTACACCCCAGCTCTTGTTTGCATAAATAAATCTTAAAAAAAGACAATTAAGACAATACTTGATTTACTGGCCACATCCTACCCCACACATTTAAAGCAATAGTTTTACCTGATCCTAGTTTGATCAGCATATAATCATGAGTAAACCAATACTTTTTCCTTTCATTTTTTCAGATTTTTTCATTTAAATGCATATGACATTCTTAATATTTCTAAAATGTATAAAAATGATTAAAATGGATATCCTTCTTTTATTCATTCCATTATAATAAAAATAAAGATCAGCTATTGCACCTAAAATGTGGTGAATGTTTTGCTGAGTGTGTGTGTGCATCATATTATCATGTTGTGCACTTTAAACTTACACAATGTTACATATCAACTATATCTCAATAAATGTGAAGGAAAAATAAACAGTAAAATGCATAAGCTCATAAAGGATAAGGTGTCTGCTGTGTGCCATACTCTTAGGCAAGAGAGCACTATGATGAGAAATATATGGGCAGGAGCAGAAGATAAGCGAAGTCTGCGGAAGATTCAGCAGAGAAAATATGCCAAAGTTACTGCAATGTTCCAGTTGGAAAACACTGCAGAAGTCAAAGAAACTTCTCACCTGAATAAAAACATTTATCTTTCCTCCCTTTAGAAATTCTATTATAAATACAATAGTGATGAACATACTCAAAGGATGATAGGACATTTCCAGAAACTGGAAATCAGATAAGCATTGGTTTACTATTATAACCTGACTCAGATCTGCACTGGGGAAAGTACAAAGAAATTATAAAACCTCAGAAGTGTAGAAGAACTTGGACTCTAAGACAGGAATGTATGAAGACCTGGAAGAAACAGGAGATAGACTGCAACTGAAAAAGAAGTCAAGCCTATGTTCTGTCACTGAAGAGGCTGAATCAGAGGGACACAAGGCACCCCAGAGAGCAGGTGTTCCAGAGTGTAAAACAATGTGAACAAATAAAAATCTAGATGATGAATGGTAATATTTCCCCAATTTCATTTCCTACATGTACCTGAGTCTGATTAGAAGCTCTTTTTGCTTTTAGTGACTTAACCTCAAAATGTGGGCTGACAGCCAAAGGCCACCAGATATTTAGAGGAAATGGGGGGAGAAACAAGAAAAAAATACAAAATGGAGATAGCAAAAGAAAACTGTCAGAGAGATAAGGCCATATATGGCATTCCCAGGAAACGAACAGGAAACACTAAAAAAAATGGAGGCGGTAACAGAAAGCTCCTAGAATTTAAATGCTAAGTACTAAACTATCCAACAATATCTAGAAGATAAAGTTGCTGCTTTCTCTCAAAAAGTGGAATAAAGGAAGAAAAGTAAAGAACACATGAAAACAGTAATGGACCAGTTAGTTTTAAGGACAGAATTTATCTAAAATTCTAAAGTAAACCATCAATTGTTGTACAAATAAAATAAAAACCATTTGAGATGCATAAGCCTTCAAAAATGTCCATCTTCCCTACTTCCTCTTTAGGGGATGCTTCTGAATGACGGAATCCATCAAAACAGAAGAAAAGCACAAAATAGGAAGCATTTGTGTTAGATACCACAGATCTACTCTCTGCCCAATTTTATTTTCCTGGTGTCAGTCACTGAAAAGTTGAAAACATTTATACTCTTTCAAATACACATTACACTAAACACCTCTGAATGGCTCTTTTCCTTCATTTGGCATAAAAGGGGCACATAAAGATGTAAATGGAAATGCCAGGCTATCAGTTGTTTACAAAGTCAACTCATAGTCACCCAGAAAGTTGTAAATTGGCATTTCCTACCTCACAGTTTGTAGGATTGAGCACTCTAAAACCTCGTGTCTACTAAGTTGTATTGAAGAAATGCACAGTACATAAATGTAGCCATGGAAACATTTTCCATAATGTAAGGAAAAGTAACTGCCTGTAGTCAACATAAGGACAGCAATACTAGAAGAGACAGGAAGAGGCCTCTTTTATAAACGGGAGATTTTGGAATAGTCAGCCCTCTAGAAGGCTGCAGGGGAGGTAAGGTTACATTTCTGTGTCTTGAACTCTGGAGAAAAAAACAGTGAACCATGACCTCAACATCCCCAAGACACACAGACAGCCTCATCCCTGCCATAAAACTTTCTTAAAGTTTTTTAAGCCAAGGGATAGAAAGTCAGGAAAACAATAAATAGACTCAGACACTGAGAAAAATTCTGAACTCCCTCACTCTCAAAATTCTTCAAAAGAAGTAGATGATGAGCACAGACAGGAAAGTGAGATGTTTTCCTTTCTTGTCTAGCATGGGTACAAAATAGCACTAACAGACAGCAAAATTCTTTTTATTGAACTTATAAACTCCCCTGACCTGTAGGCTGAATATAAAAAAAAATGTATTTGAGCATTGATTACTATGCTTCTTTATAGTAAGAAAAATAGATAGTTTTTAAAATTATTATTCTGGGCAAGTGTCTTTTTCTAAAGAATAAATCATTCCTCATTGTTAAAAGAAAAGTTTTCAGCACACAATGATACCTCTAGTTTTTAAAGACAAAGAGATTGTGTCAGGTTTTATAGTATCAGAGGTAATAAGCTTTAGAAACAAGAAAGGCTTTATAAGAGCTAAAGGATATGGGAGATAAGTACATATATTGCAACTTCCACAGTTGACTAGATTTTCTTATTTCATTTACAGCAATAAACAAGCATTCAGAATCAGAATACATTTTACTTCACATTAAATTTCTGAGGCATACTTCAAATAATTATTCCTGCTCTTACTTTCAACTCTTCACCTGAGTACAGAGTTAAAAGGTCTCACCTTCCTCTGAGTATGCCCCACTGTGATCAACCTTGATGTTTTGAATCAGCTGTTGTAGGACATGACTGAATTACAACTACTTCCCCAGAACTCTTCTGAGATAATAACAAAAATTAGAAAACCCACCAAAACCACAGCAAAACAAGAGCTCCATAAAACTTAAAGGCACATGCCAATTGGGTCCATTATCCAAAAAGTGCTTATTTAAAGTCTGATTTCTCAAACACAGAACTGATACAACATTTTTATGTGAATCTCAAAACATCCTTGTATGTAATTTTCTTGAACCACAACATACTAACAGAGTAATTTCTGAATTAGAAAGCAGAAAATTACTAGAATTCCATCCTGTCACAAAGAGGGAGAAATACACAAGTTCTGTGGGATCAGTGAAAGGACAGGAACTTTTGGTAACAAAGAAGCTAGTTTTAAAACAATAACAAAAAAGAATTGTACTGAACTCCTGGTTTCCGCTAAAGCTCATATAAATTCTGGAATGCGAGACAGCAGGGAAAAGTACTCAAAACACAAACATTTATTCACATAACCCCTAGGAGTACCTGGGCTTTTCAGAGATAGAGAACTAAATAAGTATATTTCACAGCATGTTGAAGAAAATCACAAACACTGTGCACATTAATAGAGAGTTGTTGCCATTTACCACGCATTGGAACTCAGATCATTGGCAAGTATTTGCCGAGATGGGAACCAGCATTTCTGCTCTCCTACCACTGACCACAATCAAACCTTTGTCAGCAACAGAGCTGGTTTTCTGAACAAAGCTTTAATTAGTAGCATGGAAATATGCCTTGTCTTTCTCCTAAAATCTTGAATTTGAATTAGCAGAGTAAATAAACTGGATCACTTCCTTTTCCATAAAAAGATGTGACATCCCTGTACACTTCCCAAGAATAACAGTAGCTTTGGGTTTGTCATCTATCTTTGAATCTAAGATACTTAGATTTTTCTCTCCAGAAAAGAAAGAAAAAAAGCTGATTTACCCATGTGATTGTTTATTTACCCCATCTGATTGAAAGTACTGCTTTATCTTTAAATTTTTATAATTAATGACTGAGATTAATTAATTCAATATGCATTCATTGAGTACTTTATTTATATGCTGAGAATACATTAAATAAAAGCAGCCCTGCCCCAAGGAGTGTTTAGATTGATTTTTGGCAGACTTTTATTTATCTTTCCTCCATTGCTTATGGTTTCAGCTGTTCAACTCATGTCCTTTGCTCATTTTAAACTACAGCTTGTTGTTTGCTTGTTTATTGGTACACATGTATTTGTTATTCTAGGGCCTAATTATTAATCTGAATAGTCACTGCATGTTTCTTACATGCAATGCAAATATTTTGTCCCATCCATAACTTCAACCAAATCAATCTCCTCTATTTTATTGTTGTTTATTACCCTGAGAAATCCTTCTCTAAATATTTAGAATAGAGATTCCTTAAAAAAATGAAAAGAGAAATACCATGTGATCCAGCAATCACTCTTCTAGGCATTTATCCAAAGAATATACCCCCTCCCCATGTTTATAGCAGCATTATTCACAGGCATGAAAGCAATCTAAACACCCATTGAGGGATACCTGGATTAAAAAAAAAAAGAAAGAAAAGCATGCATGCTATATATTATCAGTGGGCTACTATTCTGGACCCTCCCTGATAGCGCAGCGGGTTAAAGCACAGCACTAAGAAGCTAAAGCTACTTCAACATGAGTTCAATCCCCTCCCACCCACCCACCCACCCTGGAGGTGACCACATGGCGCGGCAGACCTCTCCTGACCCACCTGCTGCTCCCCTCAGCAGTGTACTTCCCTCCATCTGCCTGTTTTGCTCCCAGCTCTGTCTCTGGTGAATCCTCTCACTGCCCATGCACCTCTGGCCTGTACCCCAGTTCTATATAATAAATAAATCTTTTTTTTAAAGAAAATGATGAAATCCTGCCTTTTGCAACAATATGGAACTTGAGGTGGTTATGCTAAGTGAAATGTCAGACAGTGAAAGACAACTATCAGTTTTTCCCATATGTGAAAATAACCAAAGCAAATTAACTAACAAAATTCAACAAAAATAATTCTTAAGACTATAAAGCATGGTGGTTATCAGAGGGAATGATTAGGGAGTCAACTTGAGAATGTGAATGTCATTAGAACTTTGGTGGTGGCTGGAGGTATATACACCTATTGCATGAAGTTGTAGTCCAAAGTTGATACAGTATTATAAACCGGTGGTAAGTCAACAGAATTTTATTCTAATGTAATAAGAAATCTTTCTCTATTCTATAGTTCATAAAGATAAACACAAAGGAAAACATGGATTTTCAGTTCACATTTAGTTCTACAAATCTACCAGCAACTTAACTTTCTAAATGATATGAAGCAGAAATCTAGTATTTTCTTCCTCACGATAAACAACTTTCCCAGTGCCACTTATTGGAAGGAGTATGCCAGATAGTGAAGAGGGACAAGGATTGAAACGACTGGATTCTCAACCCCAGCCTGGAGAGATCTGTGGCCAGGCATAACTGTACATGTAAGCCCGCCATAACTCTTACCTTCTAAGGTAGGAAATATCTCCTACTTAGGTATTGTCAAGTGAAGAGCATACTGGCTTCTGTACTTACTGTTGAAGATCTTCAAAATCTTTTCTTCGACCTGTCTTACTTACTAGTCAACTGACCTGTAAATACCTTCTCAGTTCCCTAGACAAAACGATGTAATTTTTGGTACCCACATGACACTTAAAAATACTTTTAAGTAATACCTGGGACACTGACAAGCTGCAGGTCATTGGGCTGCCTTTGGTGTTTCTACTACAAACAAAATACAACTTTAAGAATATTGGTGAACTATATACTTTTCAGCCCAAGTGAATCAATGGCCAGAAGAACTTACCACAGATTTAGGGACAGTGTAAGAGCTCCACAAAGGCATGCTGAAAGCTTTCCCAAATCCACTGACATACTCCCTGTGATAAAGAAGGCAGTGTTCCTTGTTTTGCTGCATAACTCTCGGCCTCCCAAATGGCAAGTTTTGTTTCTCTGTTGCTGATACTATAATAAAAATAACAAAGTAAAATAAAAATACTTGTGAAATTAACAATTTTTCCATGCTTGACATCTCCGAATCTCCGATGATCTACCATATTCTGGGTACTTTGATAAATATCTATTTTTTCATACTTTAAAAGGACAAGTTTAGTGGTAAAAGGAGAAAGAAAAAGAGGCACCTGCACAGTCACAGGTGGGCAAAGGAACTGCCTACTCCGAAAAATATTTTACATCTGTAACCACCTTTAACTCTTACACATACACCTGCCCTGAGGAAGGTGTCATTATTCCATCCTACAGATTATAGAATGAACTGCTTAGCTAGACAGTTCAAGTTTCACAGGATATATTTGAAGAGATAAAACCTCAAAATCAAAAGTGCTTGTTTTACAGCAAAGATGACCTACTTTAATATCTGCCATAGGGAAAATATTGGAGTTCCATAAAAAATATCTCCTGTTGTTTATTGAATTTTACTTCTCTGCCATCATAATCTAAAAATCCACTAATTACTAATGGGTAAAAACGCACCCAGTATTCATGCCATGGAACAACTCTGAACAAATTATAAGAATTATTAAAACATATATTTTCTGAACTCTTATTATGAGCCAGACACCATTCTAAGTACACATATGTCGACACAACCTGCACATCTATATAAAGTAGTGTATCTCCAATTTATAAATGGTCAGTCAGAATTAAGAACTAACGCAATTTAAAATTTAACAAGCAATAATATACCTACAGGATACTTTTCTAAATGCTTTCTATGGATTAACTCTTAATATTTACAACTACACGAAGCAATTGCCATTATTAATAATGAAGAGACCGTGGGCCCTCCTTGGTGGCACAACGGATTAGGATGCAACACAGCAAGAGAACTGCAGCTGCTTCACAGTGAGTTCGATCCCTGGGCCCGGAGGTGACCTACATGGCATGGCAGACCTCTCCTGTCTCGCCCACCGCTCCTCTCAGCAGTGTACTTCGTCAGTAGGTCTCTTCTGCTCCCCAGTCTGTTTCTGGCAAATCCCCTTACCGCCCACGCAACTCCAGCCTGTCCCAGTTCCATATGCATAAATAAATATTTATTTAAAAGAAATGAAGAGACTGAAACACAGAGGTTAAGTACTTTGACCCAGGTTACACAGCAAAGATGAAATGTAGGATAAGTGTTTTAATTGGGCTTTTTGTGCCATGAGCCTCTGTGGTTATCCCCTGTGGCCTTAATGGATTAATATGGCAGGCGCTTGAGAGCGTGGATGGTGGACAGTTGTCTGTGTACACCTAGAATGTGGCTGTGAGCTTGTGTAAGTGTGCACCCCTGAGTCTAGAGACCTGGGCTATAAAGATGGCTATGGGAAGATGGGTATGAGAGGATGAGTGACTACAGAAGAAGTGAGAAAAAGGGAGCACCCCAGATAGCTGCGAGAAAGAGTCAAGATTTATGGGGGTTTGGAAGCTCACTTGTCTGCCTGCCTACCAGCCCATCCGCCCCCACAACACACCTGGCCTGTGCCTACCTCCTTGCATGCCAACCTCTCTGCCTGGTGTGCCTGAGTACCTGATTATAAGTTAATTAAAAGGTTATAAGTTACAGCAAATTTAAGAAAATCATGTTCAGCTACTGTGCTGAACACACTCCAGTCCTTGAATGAACCAAAAATAAAATGATTCATGAGAGAGCATTAAAGCCTGTAAAATCCACTGAGGGCTCCGGGACTCTTTATCTACCTGTCCGAATGGATAGTGAACCTGCCCGGTGCATCCTGACAATGAAGTAAGCCTAGAACTAAACCCTAGGTGGTTTGATCAATTCAAATCCAAGAAAGGGAAGAGTGAACTGTAGATGAGACACAACCATTTCAAGGAAAATGCTGCATTCCTGGAATAGTTATCAGTTACCCTATGCTTGCTATTGCTGTTACTAGAACTGGTTATTGTTTTGTCCCCTGTATGTTGACAATTAACATTCTTTATACTCAAAGGGAGCTTTGAGCTTAATTTGGAGAGTCTCCCCAAAGTAAAATTGCATTTCATTAGGCCTAATAAAAAACTCACGTGTTTTCTACAACTTACTTTCTTCTGCTTTGAGATTTAGTCTTGCATTCATAGATGATAGATCAGTCTCCTGAAAGACAATATGGGACAGAAGGAGAGAAATGACATCAAAGTAATAGCGCATGTTTTTAAGGTGATCAAGAAGATGTCTGCAGACCTTACATAGATTTTACTTCTGCGCAAAAATAGCCAGACTTAAACTCCAGCTCTGCCACTTAGAAACACAGAGATACTACTACTCCTTAGAATACTCTGCTCTATGTGGGAATTGGCAAAGATGTGATAATGGGACAGAGCATTTTGACAGCAGCTGGGATTAGCTACTATTGATAAATTAGAACAACTTCTCAGTGTCTGTCAAGCATTAACATGCATACAACTCACTAGAGGGTATTGTTAAAATGAGAATCTAAATTAATAAACCTGAATCCTGTGGGACCAAAGAGTCGGAATCTCTGCAAGTGATTCTATGCTGAAAGCCCAGTTTCACTCATGTGCTCCAGTTCTCACAGGTGGGCTTGCCACTGTATTTACTAAGTGATTGTATGTATTCCATAGTATGTATGTTAGCTTCTATTCTAACATTTTTAATCTCCATGCCTAGAATCTCATCCTGTTGATAGTCTTCTGGGATCTAACATCCTGCTCCTGAACTCAGCTTTGGTATGATGCACTGAAAAAATGTTCCCAGTGCTGACTGCCAGCCAGCCTTCCCCACTGCCTGAGGGGCAGTCTTCAGTGTTACCCAAGGGAACGCCTCCCATTTTAAGCAACTGGCTTCCTGAACTGTGCAGAATCTACAATGCCCACCCTCTCCTCATCTCCACCCTGTCTCCTGCACTCTTCCAGTTCATTCTATTCTAAGTAAATAAGCATGACGATCTGATTCATAGCTGCAAGGGGAACAGTTCATGAGACATCAACAAGAACTCCAAGATTCTACTGTTCTGGTTAGGGACAATTTACACACAAGGGATTTAATTATTTCCCAACTAGTGCCTTCCAGTTTACAAAGCATATTTACACATTTAATCTTATGGCATATCTCTGATTTCTAGAGATGGTTTCAGTGGAATACTTAGAAATGCAGTATATCTAAGTTAGAACACAAACCTACTTATAGTTGATCCCTTCACATTCTAAATAACACTTACATTTTGTAATTCAGGGCATTTGCACCCTAGATCATCCGTGGGCAGTGGAGTAGTAAATTCACAACGAGAAGACTTTGACACTTCTTCTGGATGGGCTGGTTTATAGAAAGGTTCCTTCAAAAGATGGTTCAGACTACCATGGGTACCATTGTTTGGTGCAGGCTGAATGTGTAGAAGATCTATTTAAAAAAATAAGTTCAGGATGACACAAACACCTACTGATTACATCCTTGGCAAATTCTTCTGTAGTGCAGTAATGGGCTGCATGAGTCTAGAGAATAAAACAGTCCCTGGAGCTGGGCTACAGGAAGTTCCATGAACTGTGTCTGTTCCTCTAGAAAAAGCATTAGTGAACTTGCTTAATAGAGTTTCATTAAGTACATCTCTCTTACTCTGGATCCTAACAGGTGCCTTCCATACACTTTCCGCAAGAGGTGACAAAAACTCAGCCTGGGAAACAAGAATTTAAGTTGTTAAGACTATGCCACATTGTATTTAAAATGGCTAAGTTTTTTGGCCCTCCCTGGTGGCGCAGGGGATTAAAGCACTGCACTGAGAAGCTAAAGCCACTTCCGCATGAGTTCGATTCCTGCCTGCCCAGGTGACCACATGGCGTGGCAGACCTCTCCTGACCGGTCCACTGCTCCCCTCAGCAGTATACTTCCGTCGATCTGCCTGTTCGGCTCCCCACTCTGTCACTGTCCCTGCACATCACAGTTCTGTATGCATAAATAAATATTTTTTGAAATTATTCAGTAGCTTAAGTGTGAAATAAAACAAGATATCATGCCCCATTGTACTCTGTAGAGACTAATGTGGAGGCAGAAGAGTCCCATGGTTAAAAGCTTCATTTTCACCAGCTATTAAGTGGCATTAATGAAGTTCCATCTTTGTAGTGCTCTGACCTTGTACTATGCCTGGCACATAGAACTGTATTTTAGTTTTCATCATCACTCTTTTTTAAAAAGTGCCCAAATCGGGCCCTCCCTGGTGGTGCAGCGGGTTCAAGCACAGCACTGAGAGTCTAAAGCCACTTCCGCATGAGTTCGATACCCGCCTGCCCCGGAGGTGACCTCACGGCGAGACAGACCTCTCCTGACCCATCCACTGCTCCCCTCTGCAGTGTACTTTGTTGATCAGCCTGTTCTGCTCCCCACTCTGTCTCTGGTGAAGCCTCTCACCCTCCGCATCTCTGGCCTGTACCCCAGTTCTGTATGAATAAATAAATCTTTAAAAAAAATGGCTAAGTTTTAGTCTCTAAATCACATTCAATTAATCTAAGCCAGTGGCAAGTGGCAAGTCTAAGAAAGAACTGTGAGCATCTGCATGTTTGAATTCCTACACAAGTGATTAGTTAATATGATAATCTGAGGCAAGCCTGTAAGCAGGAAGTGGGTTAGAATCCCTAAAACTTAAAGTTTTTTTTAACACTGAACTTAATAAACGCCTATCCAAAAAGAACTTTGTTACCATCTTTATTCATGGTGCTTTCTCCATGTTATTATAAGAAAATATTTACTTGTATTTTCCTGCTTTAAAATGTTAAGTGCAATTTTATTTACCTAACCTCTATCAATTTCATTACGATATAATAACAACAACAGAAAAGCAAATCTCCTAAGTTTATCATGACTATAAAAACAAAAAGAATTCACTCTTATAGCTGAATATTCCTTACTAATAAACATTCTTCCTCATTTTTTCTATTTTCTGTCTTCTTAATGCAGAACATCCACCTCTGGGATTAATTTATCACCAATTTCAAAACACATTTTTTTAAAACAATATGCACATTTTGCCATTAAATTCATACAGAAGTACTTACCACATAGTAGGTTATAGATTTCAATGTTTTCAAACGGTTCGACTTCGGTCTTCTCTTTAAAACTGGGTCCATGTGCCACAAAGATAGTCTAGGAGGTAACAGTCACACCATGACTATGTAAGACTTTATTCTAAGATGCCTTCAGGACTCAAAAACAGGTGATGAAGAGACACAATTCTCCTTCCAGCACAGCCCTTCTATTTGTCTTAGACTTCTGTAAGGATTTCTTCTCAGAAATGAAACTGATTTTTTACCATTTCCACCTGTGATTTGTGCCAATCCTGATGTAATATGAGCCATATGTCTTTATTTCTATGTCTACCTGCTTCCACAGCACCTCATGAAAACTAATTAGGAAAATATAGAGATCAAAAAATGCCAGCAAATAATCTGGACAAGATAAATTAGAAATTCATCAGATATATATATATATGTCTCTTCATATTCCTTTCAGATCACTGCTCAAATATGTAAATACATAAAACATTGAAACATAACATAAAAGCATTAATTTTCACATAACATGACTTCTTAAATCCTCCCTCTACTGTTACAAAAAAGCAACTTAAATATTCTTACTTATATCGAATCCACTAATGCTAATTATTCATAGCAGAATTAATCATTTTAGATTGCAAATACTAGAAGAGTCAGAGATAAACTATTCTTTTGCTGATAACAGGTATGTTATATATTTATGTGTGTGTTGGTTTGTGTGTATATGTGATGACTGAAGTATTCGAAGTATGGGTTTCTAATGCAGTAATCATCAAATAGTACCCTATAATAGACAAATAACCTGTATCCAGAGAGTTTTCAAATATTTACAGACAGGTGTAACTCACTGCAACAGTGTTAAGAGGTAGAATATCTATACCAAGGCTAACACATTGTTTTTCCTATTGGAAAGGGATGTATGAAAGGGATCTATGGAATGTGTGGAGGAGGTGGGTGGGAATATTACAAATGACATAAAATAATCAGGTTGCAAGAATAATGAAGCTCTAACTTTGTGGGGGGGTGGGGGGAACCAACCAATTTTGCTCATGGATTCTTACAAATATTTGTCTCCCCTTAGTTCTCACACACTTCTGGTTTCCTTTTGTCACAAATTCTACTTCTAGGTCTTTTTACTAGTAACTTTTTCTCTCAAAAATTCAAAAAGAAATATTTAGGGCTTAGTACTCACTCTTTATCTCTACCTACACTTAGTCCCTGAGGAAGTTACCTAGCCATAAACTTTCCGAATAGTTGATAGAGCTAAAACTCAGCTTATCCCCAAGCTAAATTTTTCCATTACCTTCATCTCTGTTGTTATGTATGGTAAATATTAAAAATTTAACACGTGAACTGAACTTTCCCTTCCTATCAGCTGCAGCCCAAAGCTAGCATCTCTCCAGCAAAATATGAAGGTTTTCTTGCCCCTAACACAACAGGCCTATTCCCACATTTGGGCCTTTACACTGGTTGATTCTCCTGCCTGGGACACTCATTCATTGAATATTTGAACATTTAATTCTTTCATCATCTTCTACTCTTCTGTTCAATGGCATCTTAATAAATCTAACCCTCTCAATCTTATTCAAAATCATGCAATGTTCCCCCACAGCACTCCGAAAACACCCCAATTTCTACCTACTAAGCTTTACTTGTTCTTGATTTCCCATAGTTCTTCTAACATCTTCTAACATGCCAAATAGTATTTTCCTTTTAAAACAAAGTCAATTGTCAATATTCTTGCATTCGAATGAAAACTTCATGAGGAAAAGGACTTTTATCTATTTCATTCAAATACATTCTAGACTCCTGAGTAGTGTTTGTCACAGAGTGGATACTCAATACATATGCATTGATAAATATCTAGCAAATTAAATGTCTAACACTTACCAAAATAATTTAAAATATATGCATATATATGTATATATATAAATTAAATATGAAAGTTATCAGATAGATATTTGTTAAAAGCAATGTTACCTCCATGCTCTTAAACTCATTGTCATAACCATGGTTGCCTCCACCACAGAACGTATTTCCTTTGGCCCTAGAAAGGAATAACACTATTATATTGTGACCAATATATTGATATAAGACTGTATAGCAAACTGAACTTTGAAAGATTTTTATTTAGCTTCTACCATTATATAAGTAGCTTTTCTTCAAACAACAGCATAAATATAGTCATTTTTCATACTAACCACAGGTGAACAATATGGTAAAAGAGAATTTATAGGTAGAATTTAAAAGCTTTTAAGTCTTAGATATTAAGAAAAGCAACAAAATCAATTTTTAAAAAGAATTTGGAGAAAAAAAGCTTATCTGCATGATAATATCTGCATGATAATAATTTCAATAGATCTGAGGCTACCAATAAGGGAGGGCAAAGGGGGAGGGAGCCCAGTGGACTATGAGAAGAAATTACTGGTGCATTTGTGGTGGGCTTGTTGTGTTGTGAGAACATAAGTTTGAAGGTGTGAACCTGTACCACTAGAATATATACTGCTCTTAAGCTAATATTACCTGGTTAATAAATTTAATGTAAAAATTTAACTAACTAGTGTATTACTTTAAGCATTTCAGTTTCAATAGCCTAAACTATGAATAAATAATACTCTGGGAAAATTAACTGTAATGCTTAATAAGGAGAAGTTATATATTCTGTGAATTCAGCATTTATTTTCCACTTTTGGTGTCTTCTTACCCAGGATATTGCTCTTTGATTCAAATGACTGTCCAAAGTTAACTACCTTGCCTTCTGCCTATTTTGTTAATAGTATATTAATTTTTGAATTAATAGTAATTTCAATTTGTAAGCAGTGAAGATTTAAATTAGGTCTTTAAAGGGGGAAAAAAGCTTTTAGTTTCAAAGATTGTCCTTAAGAATTCTCTCACTTACTTCCCTAATCCCAGGACACATACACACACGATATTTTTGTTTTTACATTATAGGTCCAAAGAGCGCAGGACTTTAATTTAGCATCTTAAAGTAATCAACTTTAAAAAAGAAAATTCATAATTGACTCATTCAGCTTAAATGAGAAAATAAATCATGAAGTAAAAGATCAAACAATGAGCAGCCCACACTTCAGTCTATCCAACAGAGGAAAGAATGGAGAGGCCACATACTACATGGGATGGGGGAAGTGGAGGAAGACCACTTACATCAGGAGTTAGTTAATTAACTGACTTGGTTAGTTCTAACAAAATTGTTGGCATATGGCAAAAGTTGTTTAAAATATTTATATCCTCACTGTACAGATATTTGGCTTCCCAAGGTTACCAGAACTACTTAAAGATTTAAATTCTGAGTAGGAAGCTAAAGTATTGATTAAAGAATAAAAGGTTTTCTTGAACTAAGTCACTGGTAATTAAATTGATCTTTTGTTTCTCAGAAAAATCTAGTTTTTAAAAAGTGTTTTTGTCAAATCCCAGCCCAAGTGAATTAAAAAAAGTTCAGTAAATATTGAAGCAAAGTTATTTGGAAGACAAAGAAAAAAATATTATTTAAAAAATCCTATTTTCTATTTCTCAAGTGAAACTAGATATTTGCTTTTCTAAAAGTTCATGTTTATGTTTTTCGACCACTAACTTGGCTCTGAAAATTACATGTAGAAAAAATTGGTATTTGAAAAAGATGAGTTGATCTGACCTATTATAATTTAGCTCAGCTTCCAAGTACTATATGAAATCTTTTGAAACAAATTCTTCTATCTTATCCAAGTGTAATTAATACAATTGGATCAAGGCAGGGTTTATCTACCCCAGCTGAGTGACAACACAGGGGGATGAACAACTACTTTTCTGGTCCCAATCAGCTGCCAAGTCCCTTCTTTCTCTTTCCTCTGTCTCTGGCTGCTCTCTGCTACTGCCACTATTCTAGGCTAGACCCTTTTTATCTCTCACCTGAGCAAATTTCCTAATAGGTTATTCTACTGTGAGCTTCGGAATCTTCACCTCCCCCCACCCACCTGTTGCCTCTCTCACCTCTCTTTCACATACACACTCAAACATACACACATACCCCTAATCATATTTAACACTATAGCTGTTGGAAATGGAAAACACATGTTTTAATAAGTACAAATGTGGGACAGAATATGATGAACCAGCACAATCCTGGAAAATCGAAGTTTTAAGTTTATCATACATATTTTCCTGACAGTGTGGTGCCTATGTAATTTTACCATCTTCCACAGCTCCACGACCTTCCTGCGGCTTTCATATTGCTAAAGAATGAGTCACACACATTTTGCTAACTGGCTTCCCTGCCACTCACTTTGACCATCCTTCTCCTTATGGCAGCTGGCGTGAACACCCTGAAATGCAAACCCCTCTTCACACCTTGTGCCTGCTGATGATCTCCTACTTTTTTCATGGCCAAAGTCACAGTCCTCTGTCATGAAGAGATGGTGCTTCGCTCACCAGATGTCTAGGATTACGGAGCTACTTGCATATAGTTCATCTTTCGAAAAACCTGATTACTTCTACCCTTCTTTGGCCCAGAGCTGCTGCTGTCCACTACTCTGGGCAGAGCATTTGGAGAAAGCAGCTCTAAGTAGACGCAGCCTGGCAAACCTCAAGGTTTGGCAAGCAGATTAGTGCCTTCCAGCAAAGAAGTGGTCCTGTGCTTTCCCTGGCGGCGCAATGGTTAAAGCACCACATTATGAAGCTCTCTGAAGCCACTGCAGCGTGAGTTTGATTCCTGGCCAGGGAGCTGACCCACATGGCATGGCATGGCATGGAGAGGCAGACCTCTCCTGACCCACCCATTGCTCCCCTCAGCAGTGAACTCTGTCAATCTTCCTGTTCTGCTCCAGAGAATATTAAAAAGAAAAAAGGTCCATTTCCTCCTGCAGACACAGTCCTCTCAGGGCTGGGTTACCTTTCTGTTCCCCTCATCTTCTCAGCTCACCGCCTCTGTACAATGCACAGATTGCACAATACATAGACCGATCTTCTGTTTGTAGCATTTACCTTCATTCATCCTGACTCTTAAAAGCAAAGAGAAGGAATCTGACCTACCACGAAGCACTCTCTGACACGGGCACTTAGGGGATGGAATCATTCTTTTCACTTGCTTGAACCTTGTACTTGGGTCTGATGCAGCAGTTGCTAAACTGAGTGTAACTGTTGTCTACCTTTCCTGGGTGGAAATCCTGAGAATGGAGACTATATTTTCTCCAACTTGTAAAAGGTGCCTGCCATGTATTTGTCAGTTTCCAATCATAAGACAAAACAAAACAAAGCAAACAAACAAAAAAAACTGCTATTCATGTTTTTTTTTACTAGGGAAATTTCACAATACTTCTGTAATACCAAATAGTTGGACTTTCCCAAATAGGTAAAATCTAACATATTTTAAGAAAAATAAAGATCATGATGACAATAAAACATATGTACAGTAAAGGATGAAATCTGCTATATTATTGAAAAGGAAATCAAATCTAGTTACTGAGTACAGAATATTACTAAAGACCTGTTTTCACTTAGAAAACAGGTAACCTGAGAGTTGTTTGTTAAGCATGAAAAAAAAAAAAAACCCGGGATTTAAGCTGATTAAACTCCTTGCTGTGGTTAGGCCTGCAGTCCATATTTCCTTTGATATAAGTTAATTTATTCGATATGCCAATGGAAAATAACAGAACCAAGCTAATCTAGAGTTACAGATAAGGAAAGTAGAGACTGGAGATATAAATTATCCAAGTTCCTAGAGCAAGGTAGGTGGGGAGTGAGGTCTTAGACACTCAGACCACTCATTTTAAATCTCAGTGCTAGCTGCTAAACTAGCAAAGCTCCTAATTTCAGACCAGATATTAACATGGGATACTCAGGTAGTCTGGGTCGCCGGCCCTCCTACAATTCACACAGGTCCTGCTGTCCTATGGATGGGCACTTGTTTATTTTGTACCTGCGGCTTCCTAACTTTTTTGTCTCTTAAAAGTAAATACTCTCAACAAGAAAATAGTTGGAGAATTTCTCACATTTGACTTACAATCATTCATAGGTGACATACATACATCACTAAAATCTTTCATACAAAATAGCAGTAAAATTTCATTTTGTTCACATATTTTAATCTTTTAAATGAGGCTGTCCTGAGGCCAAAGACCCATGAAGGTGATGAAAAGCTAATCCTGAAAAGCAGGCCCAGTGCCATCTAGTGGCGCGTTGTGAAACTGCATGTCTGGCCTACCACTGCGTTCTTGAATTTCCTGTCAACTTCTGAAATAGGCTCTGCTAAATCTCTAGTTCTTCACCCTACACTCCCTCATCTTATCCTCTTTGGTAGACATCTGTTTCAACTCCTGGATTCCATGCCTTCTATATCTCTCTTGTAGTATACAAATAAATGAGCCAGAAAACACAATATGATTCTGTTTTCAATTATATCCATTTATGCCCATAGAAAAAATACTGGAACCAAGGTATTAGAAACCTCAATTTAACATTTGTTAAACTACAAGAAAACATTAGTTCATTGTTAGTCTTCTCATTTTACGAGAAGGGCAGGAATCATGTCTACATCCTAAATGCTTGAAACAGGGTCTGGCACAATTAGATCTTACTGAATTAATGAATTAGTTGGTTATTGGGGATAAAATGATTCAGAATGGTTTTTATTTGCCCTATATACATATTTTGCAAAAGTTTGATGATTGACCTAAGTCACAATTAACACAAGAAAAAAAGAAATCACACCTAACTGCAAAGATGACAAAAATCTTAAAGCACCATGTAATCAATTCCAACCTGAAGACGACTGATATCACCTTTATATCTTGTCTGCTTGAAAGAGACCCCAGTGGGAGTTATTAAGAGGCTGATTCTAACAGTGCCTGAAACAACTCAGCCTTTTTCCTCCTCATGTGTACTGCAAAGATTAGGATACCAAGACTGTATTCTAACTGATCAAAGCACTTTCAAACATGGAAGCACTAGAGTGTTGATAAAGATCAAGAAAATGTCAATAATTGGGAAAATCAGTGAGACCATAATGGTTAAGTATGGTCAAGTAAATTTAGTAAAAGATGACAGGTGTAAGTATTATGGAAAAATTAAGACACACGAACCTCACAGCCAGCCACTGTCGATCCACCAAAAGATGTACTTTGTCAATTCTGACATTTTTGACATAGTGTAGTCGTTTTGGCAAGTCAGCAGTCAAATAGGGCTTGAAATGCTGGTCAGGTTTTCGGCACTGAAAACAGATAAATTATTTCTTCATGAAACTTAAGAAATATTGAAAATAATTCAACAATTTCATCTCCTAAGGGCATCTATTAAATATTTTTGGAGGGGATTTAAACTTGGGTAATAAGATAGGAATATTAATCCTATTATAAACAGTCACATTCCTTGATTATTTTGTTTACATTGTTGCAACAATATGTATGTTGCACTTTAAAATATGATTTCAATTATGATTTGGTGTTTGTTGTAAGTTTTTATTACTGTGTGTACATCATAAGTCACTGTTACTTTCCTTTTCAGACAGAAAATAGAGATAAATTTAGTTTTAGAATGACAATTACAACTTTGAATTTCAACTTTGAATATTAAAATTACATAACATATTAGTGGGTATATGTAAAACATTAAAATCATGTTACACACACCAAAATAGCTTTATAATTGACAATTCACTCAGGAATAATCTACAATTGCTTAATTTTCAAATCAATAATTTAAGACTAGTAGTCTCTTTTTATAAACTTTAAATGGAGTTCTGTGAAGTTTTGTTTCTATGATACTACTGTAACTAGGAGGTGTATTTCAAAATTGTGTAAAAATGCAAACCACAATGGTATCCATGTTAGAAAATGAGGCAATAGTAGGAGAAATATGAGAAATAGGACTACAAAGGAACTTTTTCTCCATCATGACTTTGAGAAACAAAGAAAACAGGGAATTATATAGAGATATGAATATTTTCTACTTCATTTTTTAAATAACTCCCAGACAAGTGCCGTCATGGCGGCTGCTGAGTAGTTTCCTCAGACAGACCAGGGCCTAGAACAAGCCCTTAGGATGTGCCACGCATCATCTGACAAGTAACTTTCCAAGCTGGTGTGTAGCCAGAGAAAATACAGGGGGAATTTGGGGTATGATGCCACCCTCCGAGGAAGTGCAAAGTCATTACTTGAATTTGGGAATCTGACATAAAGACACTACAGTTGAGATAAAACTAGAATCATGTTATCTAAGAACAAAGTCAATGCTGTTGATTGTCATACAGCCAGAATGCTGAGGAATTTAAAGAGTTACCAGTTCATTTTTAGTGATGTCTATCCAATATAAGTACACAAACCTGGAAAAACTGCTATACATGGAATATTTTCTGAGACTCATGTACTTTATGAAAGGGTAGTCCATTTCTTCAGGGTTCTTTAGCTCCAGCCCAGCCCATATCTGTGATGCTGTGTAGTAAATTTGCAAAGCCTGTAGTATCCAAGCATCCAAACCCCTTGCACTGCTGAGACTATTGTGGATTTACCCTTCCTCATTTCACTAAGAGGACATCAACTATATGAATCATGATGGGGATAAAAGGAAAATTAGAATTCAAAGTAGAGAGAAGTGAAAATTCTCCATTAACCATTCAATCAGCATTAACACTTTTCACTGGTAGGTGGTGAGTTGGTCTTTCGTGTTTACTCAAGATCAGAGTTTTAGAGGTTGTGAAAGAATAAAAGGAGAGTGACCACGAAAGGATTTCTGCAGAGCTGTGTTAGATAACAAACTTGAATTGAGCCAATTTATTGTTACCATTCTTTACCTGATGTTTCATTATCTTTAATCATTAACATTTTATCCTAATGGTGTTCACTATAGTTGCACATCATCTGTATCGAAATAAATCTGCCCATTTCCAAAGTAATTATAAGATCATTAATTACATATAATAGAAGTATATTTGTGAATCTACAAAATATAGAAATATTAGGATTACAGCATAAGAATGTTCCACTTCTCTCCAAGAGTAATGAATACCACCTGGAAAATTCCAGATTGCTTTTAGCTATTTGGAATTTGCTCTGCTCATTTGCTTATAGTCTGCGACGCTGAGATGTCAACTCCAAAATGAAAACTATGATAAAAACTACTGATATGTATACAAAGTAATGTTGACTTTGGGCTTTAAAAAAATTATTGATGGCTTAAATACAGAAATACAGAATGAAAGCTTCTTGTAACCCAGATGAGCCCATGATAATTACATAACTTTGTTGGATGTATTAGAGAACTATATACTTACACTGAGGTTCCTAACGATTCCTTCAGAATCAACTGTTAAAAAAAACACACACACACACATATTACAGTTGACAGGTGACAGATGCAAAAAAATGTGATCAACTCAGTTGAATTTGACACATTTAATTTAAGACAACTATGGTCTGGTGAAACAAAATATTTTAGGCAAAGAATTATTTTAGAATTTCAGAATGGGGTAGTATTTATACCTAACAACATTTTATATTACTGTATACATTACAGATTGTACTTCAAAGTGGGAGTTTTTACTCTGCTTCGGTGTGGTCTTCCCAAGAAGTCAGAAGAGGGGCTTGGTAATCCCCACATGCTTACATTTGAGGAGTTATGATTACTCACTTTCAGCTTTATCCCTTTTTTCCCATACAAGCATCATCATACTTACAGTTATAAAAGTCAGCAGGTATGTTACGAGATCTGATGCGGGGAGCAGGCCCTTCATACATGTAGAAATTTATTTTGGAAAAATAATCAGTCATATATTCCACCTTGTCACAATAAGTCTGTTCCATTCCTGTATAAAATAGGTAAGCAGACAGATAAATAAATCACTGAATGTATATAAATAGTAGCAATTGGTTGTCTTTGTTTATGACAAACAGACACTTCATGGTACAGATCTCAAGCTAACTTTCACTAAGACCCTATACAACTTACCCTATTGCTTTACTCTCAGATGGACCTTAACATTCCTGTTCAATATTGATCAATTAAAATAATTTCAAAAGAAAACTCTTTAGGAAGCTAATCATATTTTTATAATGCCCAATTTTCATGTGAAGAAGCATGATATACAATATAAAATCAAAAAACATGCATTTTTATAAAATACACTAGAGAACATGTTTTGTATCAAATTAAATTGACAGACCTTATACTCTAAAAAATACTTTCACTTGAAGATCTATCATTCAAACTAATCTAAATTTATATTTATTGCTTTATTATTTACTTGTTATATTTATTACTTATATTTTATCATTTACCTCAACAATAGATCAAAGTGTTAGGGAACCATTTCAGAAAAAAATTTAAATTACTGTTTCTCATAATCTTGATATTCTAAAGTAACTACTCTGCAGACATGCTCCATTTTCCTCTTCTTACCCCATGCCTGGTACCTTTTACAGTTATTGGATATCCTAGAGAAGATGGTTTTGACCACCCCATCTAAAAAATGTCCACTTTTGTTTTGTGTACTTCTTAACAGACATATCTAGTAAAGTACAGAGCATTGAATAGGCTCTTGAAAACTATTTGTCAAGTGAATGAGTACAGCAGGCCTTCAAATAAACCAATTAGTCCAACATTCCTCAAACCTTGACAAGAAAAAAAACAATCCCAGCCCACAATGAATGACACTATTATAAATATTATTTGGGCCAGCATTGCTATCCATTGAATCTCTTAAAGTTGTGGTTCCCAAGAATCTATCCATGTTGCGAAGGCCTTACTGTGCTTATAAAACTGTGCACTCACTAGAGTGGTGTGATGGATGTTCCGCTTTCTTTAACACTCACATTAATGAAATGGAGACTTAGCCTCAAGAAGACAAATATGGGGTAACAGTGACTTTATAGAAGTCTATTCACATAACTAAAAAAAAAAAAAAAAAACCGCAGGACATGATGGCATAACTGGCCAGTATGTAAAGTGAAGTCAATCTATAAGAATGAAAGACCCACTGAAAAGAAAGCCCAAATGCATGTTTTATGATAAAATGATAACCTAACAATAACCACATCGTGTGCGCACAGTCCATTGATACAGAAAGTTAAGTGTATGGATACATTTTCAAAATGAATATTAGAATAACTGAACTAGAAATTTAGTATTAATCCTCTATTCATGGCAGCCTGCCACAAAACTCATTCTTCATTAAAGAGCTTCTACATCTAGCAGTATAAACTTTAAAGTATCATTTTTGTATGTCCCTTGAAGTGATAAAATGCAATAAATAGTAAAGTATGATTTTAAAAGTTGCATACCATGGTCAGCCAAAAGGATTATATTGACACAGTTGTGTAAATTCCGCTGTTTCAAGCCCTCCATCAACATCCCGAAAGTTTTATCTACTAGCTGTAAGGCTTGAATTACCTAAGAAGAAAATTGGAGTTCAGATTGTCTTCACACATTAAAATGTAATTAACCATTACTGAGTGGTATAAAAGTTAAGCACATTTCCTTCCCTGTGATTGTTGGGCTTTGGAATAAAACAGAGCCTAGCACCCATGCTTCACCCAAATATCAACTCTCTGAATTTCTGTAAATAAAAAACTAAACCATGGCCCCTACTGGGTAGTATTATATGGAAGAAAAGTTCAACTTCAACACATGTTTCCATTGCATAGATTTTCATGATAAAGCCCCATGTTGCAGAGGGGAGTCCATAGACACTCCTGTGGGAACCTACGGTCTATACAGAGGACCATGTGGCAACGTAGAACAAAAGACTTTTAAAGGAGCATAGTCTGTAATCTACTAATTCTACTTCTGGGCATTTGTTCTAGGTAAACATTTAAAGCACAAATAGAAATTTACATACAAGGATATTCATCACATTACTTATCTACAATTTAAAGATACAAATAATTTATGTCACATCATAGAGAAGGCATACTTGATAGTCATTACAAAGGCATAAAAATTCACACAACTTTGTTGACTATAAAACCTTAAAATCAAGTTATACACACCCACTCATATCGCGTAATCCTGACTTTGTTTTTAAATGTATTTAGCATCTTAGTAAATGTACAGATACCAACACCAATATTGAAACATCACAGTACTCTTAACAGTAGCTTTTTCTGGGTAGTGAATTAGAATTAATTTTCATCCTATAGTTTATACTTTCACATAATAATGGTCATACATTCTGAGAAATGCATCAGTCAGTGGTATTCGCAGTGATATGATATAATTAGTATACCTACTCCAAACCTGGGCAGAGGGATAGCCTTCTGCCATTAGGCTACTACTACATAGAAGCAGTTACTTTAGTGAAGAAGGAGGCAACTGTATGAACAAATTGGTCTTGTGTAACTCGAGATCTAGATACGAAGTAGTCCATCATTAACTGAAATGCTATGTGCCACGTGATGGTATTCTTTTGTTATTCTAATTCTTTCTACACTTACCAACACAGTGCACTGAACTGGCCCACAGTTTACCTAAATGACATAACTTGCCACTATATTTTTTCAATGAAAAGAAAATGTAACAAATGGATTAAAAAAAATTAATCTCTCATAACACCAATAAGAAAATGATTACTTTAAGAATATCTTTTAAAGATTTATTTTTACTTATTTATGCATACAAGAACTGAGATCTAGGCCAGAGAAGTGCAGGGGAGGGGATGAGAGCATTCACCAGAGACAGAGTAGGGTACAGAAAGGTGGCTCTACTGAAATACATTGCTGAGGGGAGCAGCAGGCAAGACAGGAGAGGTCTGTGAGTCAACTCCCTGGCTTTGGGGGGGGGGGGAGGGGACGGGGTCAAAATCATGTAGTGGCTGGCAATAGTTTGATGGCACTGAGATTTAACTCCTGCACCATCAGGGAGGCCCCTTAAGAACTTTATATCATGAAGTTCTCACAGCAAGAATTCATGGATGGCAGTTTGTAACATCTAATTATAGAGACCAGGAAACTGGAGGTTTAATGAAGTTAAGTAACATGTCATGGAGCCACAGTTAATAAGGACAAGAGCAGGACTTGAACTCTCTCCTCCATCAGCTCCAACATGTTTTCCTGACACTCATTGGTAGGATTGTTCACCCTGGGTTTCTTGTGAGAATCGTGGTTTTCACCAGTTGCCATAACACAATTCTATTTACTTCCACACTGACACTCCCAATTGCACTAAGAGGTACTTCTCTCCATCCTTTTCCCTACCCTGGCTTTCTACTGCCACAGGATTCTCCAAAGTTTTTCCATTATCTGTGCGTATATCTGCCTCCAAGGATAGTTTGATAAACTGGGGAAAAAATGTTGTGAACTAACTTATCACAAGCTCCCTAAGCACATACACTCAAAAGTATACACTCCAGAGATGGCACATTTTACTGTCTGTGACATTCTAGATGCAAGCCGCCAATCTACTCCAGACAAAAGGGAATAATCAACTCCCATAAGGAGGAACAAGTCCTAAGATTTTGGGATGGAAAGATAATTAACAGGCATAAAAATGTTTGCAGCTGTGGGGAAAACCAAGATAGCTTCATTCATATGAAATCCTGATCATTGACTTTCACAATGGATACTACTGGAAACAGTAAAATCAACTTTGTATAATGAATTAACTGGTAAGATATGCAGTAAACAACTGTTCTTTTGGATCCAAAAGTGCTTATCTGTAAAGTGAAAGTCAAATTTACAGAGAATTTATTGCAGGCTTTATGTAGTGTTGACATACCTTATTTTCAAAATATACAATATCCTTCCTCTTTTTTTCCCTTCACATGCTAACCCAAAGTTCAGTGCTCTGAAATTCTTTTACTATGTATGAGAATGTTACCAACATTAACTCAAGCTGCTCATAATTTCATTTTTTCTGATTCGAGTTATTCTTTCCAATTTGGCATTCCATCTAAGATTAATAATTTGTTTTTCAATTCTGAGGGATGAATCTGATTCAAATATTAAATCATTAGTTAAAATGATTCAAGACCAGTCAGGACATTCTCTGCCCAACTCAGTTTCAATATTAGAGACTCACTGTATCAGATTTATTAGATTTCTTGTTTCACTAGACTTTTTTGCTTTGCAGTTAATTCTGCTTAGCTACCATCAGACTTGACCTTGAATTCTTTCCAGTGTTGGTGTCAAGATCTGGATAATTGGTTTGAGATCCCTTCCATCACAAGTCTTTCCTGACCTCCCAGGCAACAATTTTACTTTTTTTCTCCAACTTACTGCAGCACTGACTGGTCCAGCGTCATGTCCTGAGGAATCAGGCTGTTCCACATATATGGTATAAAAATCAGGTCTACAAGTAAAATTAAAACAGAGAGATGTTATTAGTTTGACTGAACCTACAGGTTGGAATGTGGAGTTGTATAGGACTAGAACTTCTGTGGAAGTTTCCTTCTTTGGTCTTCTTCTCTTCACCCTTGTCCAGCATTTCAACTGGGCCCAGCTGGAATAGACTCCCAATGGGAATTAAATAAGCCCTTTTGGAATGTTTGATTCTGTAATGATGAGCCTCCACCCTTTATATTTCCAGGTTTCTGACTTGTTGCTTACACAATTCTGCCACTCTAGTCTTTCCTTTAAATGACAGTCTCTGCTGCAATATTGACCTACTGCTCTCTTCCAAAATGCTCTGAATGTAGCCTGTGGCCACAGCCTTGCTCTGACACCTCTGGCTCCTTGAGTCAGTCCTTCTGAATTTTATATAACCTCTCAGTCTTGGCTCATATCTGGTTGGTGACATTTGCCTCTGTATTCTGGTGCTAGCTCTGCTTTTATTGTCTCAGTGACAATCATGTTCTTAAGAGCAAAATGTCAATTGACCTCAGGAATAATTCCTGAAGAGTATTCACTAAAAGGAAGAATCATATCTTTTCCAAATCTTACTAGACCAATTTTCCAAAAATGGTCATTTAAAGTAAAGAAATAATTTTAATACCACAACATCCCACTGACAGTACCTTTCACCTTTGGGAAGGTCCAACCATTTTAACAACGTAGAGATCCTTTCTTCATACGTGATACTCCTGAAAAGAACAGTAAACAATTTTGTTAACTCATCAAATTGAGAATAATTCCACTTTATCTTTATACAGGAAAGTATATTGATATTTTCAGATATCCACATGATTAAAATACTAAAAAGGATTCCGTTTTACTCAAAGGGATTCTATTTTCACTACTTATAGAGATAAAATTGCCTCACTAGAAATTAAATTGTATTTTTCAAGAGTGTCATAAATGAACTCTTTTTTAAATTGATCATTCTGGCTGGTAGATTAAGAATAAAGAGGACAAGAACAGACACAGGAAGATATGGAAGGAGGGGATGGCAGTGATACAGACAAAAGATGATGATCAGTCAAACCAGAGTGTTAGTGTAGGAAGTGATAAAATGTTATCCGACTGAATAAACATTTACTAACAGATCAACATTTTGGCCCCAAACCTGGAAAATTGGAATTCCACCAGTCTTAAGAGCAAAGAATACCCTAATCAATCTGCCTCAGCAGGCTTATATCTGTAAGTGCTTCGTACCTGTTGTAAACCATATATTTGGATGGAAAGGAGCCATTGATAGCCACATCTGATCCTGGCCAGAAGTAGGTACCAGCTGTTAAACCTTGATACATTGCTGTTAGCCAAATCTATAAGAAAATTTAACATAAGTAGAAGTCAAGAGAATAAGCAGTTACTAGAAACTTACTAGAAACTGAGTAACATTAACAATGTCAAATTTTACATACTGATTTAAAATTTAAAATACTGATTTAAAATTTACTTAAATATTTGACTTCAAGGCAACTAAAAATTATTTATATGGGGATTTACCTTGAAAACCAAAACTGTAGTAAAACTAATAACCCCTCTCCCACTCCTAGCTTTCCAAAATTAGAAAGATAATATAAAGCTCAATTTAGTTTGAGAGAAAAGTCACCCATTGGCACACTGGAACAATGGCAATTATTTTGGGGTCACATGTTGAAGACTACTTACTGGTTGACCTTGCCACCATGCTGGGTCATTTTTTGTCACAGATGAAAGTGAAAAATTCTTGTTGAGGTTTACATCATACATATTGTTGTCAATGATGCCATGTGATTCTGGATATAAGCCCTAACATGATAATTAAAAAAAAAAAAGAAAAGAATGTAATGATAAAACATATTTAAAATAAAATAGCAATGAGATCTATAACACATGTCTTAGAAGGACATCATATATATTTTAATATAAAGCCGTTGGATATCTGAACCCATATTATAGATATGGTCTGTGTTGCTAATATTAATATAAGTCATATAAGTAATAACTATTTGTTACTTGAAGTCTCTCATATTATAATAATTAGTCACTGGTAATATTACCAATAATAGGAAGAAATTCACCTCAAAAAAGTTGCCAAATATCCTGGCCCAATGGGTTAAAGTGTCTCAACTCTCTTTGGAAGGGAGTCTACATCCATCCTCCCTTGCATTCCACCTACCAGTCCACTCATTACTTCAGTCATTTTCATGGACTGTCTATAACATTCCACAGTTATAACGACTTTTAATCTGATTCTAGGATGATAATTTCAGAATAATACCAAACATATGAATGAATATATCTATCTATAAGGTAAGTTGATTATGCTTGATTCCTTATTCATGTGTATATATATATCCATGCATGTCTGTATGTGTTGATATATTATACATGCATATTTCTGCCCCTATGTATACAGAATGTATCTTTGTTTGTGATAGTTATAGAATAAAGTTACTGCCAACACCAAAGTAGTAAATACTAAACTACTACCCCTTAGGAAAACTCAGTCACATTTTCATTTACTGATCCATACATAATATTACTCCATGTGTATGACACACAGAGTATATATGGCCATTCATTTCCTAGGAATCTATCCAAAAAAGACAAAAACTAGGGATAGATGCAATCTTATTTCAGCACTGTTTACAATAGCTAGCCTATAGAAACAACCTAGGTGAATAAACATGAGTGAGAAAGGCGATGTGGCACATTTAACAATGGAACACTATTTAGCTGTACAAAAAAAGATGAAATGTTGTCATTTACAACCCCATGGATGGAACTGGAAGGGATTATGCTAAGCAAAATAACTCAGGAGAAAAACAAATACCAGTTGCTTTCATTTATGTGTGGAATATAAAACATCAAAGCAACAGCCAAAACAAACCTTTAAAATTTGACTTATGAACTGAGACTCCAGAAAGAGGGTATGAGTGGAAAGAAAAGGGAAAAGAGGATCCAGAGGATTAGGGTGAAAGATTACTGGGGTTTCGGTCACAGACTTGGCATGGTAACATACATCTTCGAGTTACGCACCTACACCTTTAAATGAGATAGTGTTGCAAGCCAACATTACTTCAAAACAAATTTAATTATATAAAATGTAGATTTTTTTTAATGGATGTCCACATAAATACCCTATCATTCCAAATAAACTTCAGCTAATAAAAAATCAGAACAGTGTTTCTCACATCTGAGAGGCTATAGGCCTAGCACAAAAGGCAGAGTCCAATACTAGGACACTTGGCCTCAAACTAAGACACTCCAGACTCTCCCTCCTACACTGAATTAAGACACAAGTTATCACCACATACGCCTGTGAAATGTGTGCCATGGCACTCTTGCCTATTCATGTCTGTGGTGGTTGGTTGACTATTGATGACCTGTTAATCTTGCCAGTGGGCTAAACACTTACTGTGACAATAGTATAATGATTTGGGAAGGTCTTAGTTGGATAGGCAGATCTCAGGTATTTTGAATGAAGTCCACAGGTTTCTAAAACCAAGCATAGTGACAAATTGTTTACATCCTCAGAAATTTTTTAGTCAGCGAAATCAGAACATAAAAATTTCCTGGAAAAAGAGAAAACTATTTACAGTGAACTAAAAATGGAAAGTAGTTGAAATTCTGATGCCCGGAATTTCCCCATCCAAGAAACATCAGTTTTAGAAAAGGAGTCAGTTAAATCAAGGGTCTGCAAAATGTTTCATAAAGAGCCAGATATTGAGTTCATATAGTCTCTTTTGCTTGTAACAAGCTTTGTTATTGAGAACCAAAGCATCCTTACATAATGCATAAGCATTTTAATGATTGTGTTCCAATAAAACGTTTTTATAGACACTGAAATGTGAATGTCAAATAATATTTTTCATGTCATTAATATTTTTCCCCAACCATTTAGGAATGCAAAATAATTCTTAGCCTGTAAACAGGCCATACAATATCAGAGTGGACTAGTTTTAGTGTATGGATCATAGCTCACTGACTTCTACATTATATACATCCAGGTTTGCTTGCTTTTACTGCACCCCTCTATCTGACCCATGTCATTATAAAGAATTTCTGTGCATCATTTGCATCTCACCTAGTAGTTGTTATAGCAAACTATTCAAGAAGAGAAAAGGTCAACACAGTCATCTAGGTAACTAAAAAGGAATTTCAATTTCTGTAGGTACATCAGTTCATGTCAAGTAGTAATGTTTATAAAATGTGCTAACTTTACTACTTATTTTCAGCACAATTTACATTTGCTCAGTTAAGTTTCCTGTGATCTGTCTTACACAAACCATGACATTAACTTTGCTTTCAATTGTTCTGTTGTTTTCAGTCTGTGCAGTAACCCTAATTTAGGAGGTCAAAACCACTAGAGCACATTGCTATTTCCTCTGCAGCAGTAAAATACAAGAAATTTTTCATACCAAAATCCTGTCGATTCTAACTCTAAAATAAAGCTTCACAATTGTAAGATTCTATTTAGGCTAAAACAAAAGCAGAAAGTGTTTGCTATCCAGAAAGTAATAAACTTCACAGCTGGAAATGATTTTCTCAAAGGATAGATTTAGTTTTAGTTTCTTTCCCAGAACCTAGTTAAGGGTTTCTAGTATGATGTAGGAATTTCCTCCTCCAAAATCTTTTAGGGTCCTCTGTCAAGTTTACTAAATAAGAGTCTGGTAGGTATGGGGGGGTTCTTAATAGAAGATGAAAGAAAGGGAACCCAAAACATTCTGTAGTTTTAACAAGCACCACAAGTGATTCTGAGGTACTTACATTGGAAACCTGATCTACAACTTGATCTATAAAGTAAATTAAAGATTAAAATTATCTTTTTTAGTCAATACCACCAATACTTTTGTCCTCAAGGAAAAATACATTTAATGCTGTTGGAAGTTATAAGAAAATGTGAACTAATTCACTTACAACATTTAAGCAATTTAAGTGCATGCAAAGTACAGTAGAATAAACAAAATAAAAACTTTTCTCAACCTAAATTCCCAAAAACGAATGGTCAAAACAAATGAATAGGTACACACACATACAATACTACCTTGCAATCAAAAAAGATAAATTGTTGCCATTTATAGAAACATGTATGGAGCTGGGAGGGGATATGTTCAGTGAAATAAGTCAAAAGGAAAACTATATATACGATATATATATATAGAGAGAGAGAGAGAGAGATCGAACGGTTTCACTTACAGGAGTTAATGGGAAACCAAAGGGTCATGAAATTTAAGACAAAAGTTAGTAGGCAAACTATAGCTCTGAAGCACACAGTGGTGGGAAGAGGGGAAGAGTCAAAATGGGGACAGAGGAAAAAGCACAAGGGATGATGGTGATGGTTCCTGGGTGATGTGGTGGTGGGAGATTTGTGGGGGCTACCCCTAAGGGAGAAGTCAAATAGTGTACAAAAATGAATGATGTAAGAACATTTTTTAAAAAGTCAAATAAAATCAATGTCTTTTTATTTCCTTGAAGCATATGTGACACAGTCAAATTCTCAAATGCCTAAAGAACAGGTTATCAAATAAACTACACAGTAAGATAGCATTATTGTGAAAACTGGACACTTCCTAGCTACAATGTCCTCTGACTACAGAATCAGGCTACCATTTTGGATCACCTGTGTTTGCACCATTGCACTGTAGAGAAGTGCAAAGAAAGAAAGATTTATCATTGCTTCTTCCATATCTTAATAAAAATTATGAACAAGTAGAATAATTCTGGAAGGGCACAAAATAAATATAAGAGCAGTTGCTCTTGCAGCATAAAAACCAAGATGATCAGGAAAAGGGTATTTTTGGTAGTCTATATCTACCCTTCAATATTGTTTTAAAATGTTTATCATGTGCATGTTTTATTCCTTAACTTTCTTTAAAAAAGGGATAGTCTCTACCAAGAAAATACTAAAGATATAAATAATGGTATAAATACATCTCCACAATGCCTTATAAACTACTGGATGGAGCAAAAGAACAAATGTATAATTAAGCAAAATAGGAATCGAACGTACAGATGCAGCAAAAGCAGTACTAAGTAGAAGTTTACAACAATGAACAACACCTACCTATTTTACAAAAAAAAAAGAGAAATCTTGAATTTATCTAACTTTATACACCGAGAGCTAGAAAGAGACAAAACCCAAAGAAAGAAACTATATTTGAGCAGAAATAAATGAGATAGAGAATATAAAAACAATTTTAAATTTTTTTGTTGTTTGGAAAAGATAAATTTCGTAAGCCATTAGCTAGACTAAGAAAAAGAAAACTTTCCATTTCTTCAATGTGGAAGGACAGGGGCCTCTCTGGTGACTCCAGGTAAATAGCATTATCAAGCTATCACCAGCTGCTGCAGTATTAGTTCAATCCTCAGTCAGGGAGCTAACTCACATGGCACAGAAGACCTCTCCTGTGCCACCCATTGCCCCCCCTCAGGAGTGTATTTCAGTAGATCCTCACTGTCTCTGGTGAATTTTCTCACCACTCACAGCCCCGCACATCTGATCTGCACCCAGTTCTTGCATGCATAAATAAATACATATTAAATCTTTAAAATGCATATGGAACGCCATCTCTGTGAAGAAAAAAAACTACTATGATTTCCAGTGCTTTGTTGAAACCTCAACTTCCAGGCTATCTGATCAAACATCTGTGATTTCATATTGTTCATATTATTGTATCCCTGGGGGGGTTAAAGCTTCCTGTAAGTTTGCTGTAACTAAACCAAGAAATGAAAGCATGTACAAATTTCCACAGAAAATATGATTCCAGGAAAGACTTTGAGATGCTGAGGAAGACCAATATCTTTCAGGGGTGTAAAGTGATCTTAAAACAGAGGATTTCGGGACCTCCCTGATGGCACAGCACTAAGGTAAAAGCACAGCACTAAGAAGCTAAAGCCACTTCAACATGAGTTCGATCCCCGCCAAGGAGCTGATCCTCATGGCACAGCAGACTTCTCCTGGACTGCCCGCTACTCCCCTCAGCAGAGTACTTGGTCAATCTGCCTGTTTTGCTCCCCACTCTGTTTCTGGTGAATCTTCTCACCTCCCCTCCCCCTCTGGCCTGTATCCCAGTTCTGTATGCATAAATAAATAAATCTCAAAAAAAAAGAGGATTTCTTTGGCTTGACTTCTGTGGAAGTTTCCTACTGCTTTGTGTTCCTGGACTATGAAACATTAATATTTGGGCTAAAGAATAATTTCTCTTGACAAATAATTAAATATTATAAGTGGAGGAGAAGAAAAGAGAGGGGAGACTGAAGTAAATGAAATGAAATCAGCAATGAAAAAGAGACATGTTGCCAGAACGACAAAGAAAAAATATATATAATGTCCTGCAAGCCAGATAATCTAGAAAAAAATAGATAAATTCTTGGAAACATACAACATACCAAAATCAAATCATGAAGAAATAAACAGTGTGAAAAGGATTATGATTAATAGAAAACTGAATCATTAAAAGCATTCCAAAAGGAAATGCACAGAACCAGATAATGTTTATAGCAATTCTTACAAACACTTAAACAATCTCATTAATGTCAGTCATTCTCAAACTCTTCCAGAATACTAAAAATGAGAAACACACCCAAACTCCTTTCATAAGGCTAGCATTACCCTGATAGCAAAGCCAAACAGAGACCACAAGAAAATATAACTGTAGGCCGATATCACTGAAGAACAAAGGGGTTTTTTGGTTTGTTTTTGAGTAGAACTGGGGTGTAGGTCCAGAGCAACAGTAATCAAAAGACAATGTGATATTGGAATGAAAACATACACATAGATGAATTAAGAGCCCAGAAATAAACCTATACTTAGACAAAGGAACCAAGAACATACAATAAAGAGAGTCTATTCAACAAAAGATGGTGAGAAAATTGGAGAACTACATGCAAACAAATGGCACTAGGCCACTATCTCATACCACATACACAAAATTCAAAATGTATCCAAGACTTGGTTGTAAGGCCTGAAATCATAAAATACATACAAGAAAACATAAGCAAAACACTTTACGACATTGGTTTCAGTGATACTTCTGTTAGATTCACTCACAAGGAAGACAAAGCTTGCAGTCCATCCTCCACTTAAGTCCACCATTCCCACAAGGTCCTGTTCCTCGTTCTTCCACCGCATCTACTCTTATGTGGGTCTCCTAAAGATTGAGCCCATTTGGTTTTGGTACACTCAGCACTATCTTCACACATTAAAAGATTGAGATGTTGCTGACTGACTTTCAAGAAAAGATTTTAAACCTTAGAAAGGGAAACGCTCTTAATAGTTCAGCATTTCACGGGTGTCCTTTCCAACTCACCAACTTGGTGAGTAAGTCAAATAATTCTATTTCAATAAAGTTCAGGGTAGCCTGGCTAATTAAATCACCCTTTGGATAGAATTTGATATCTAGGTTACCAAAGAAATGCAAATAAGGAAAAAGAAACAGTATTAATTACTTCCCAGATCAAAAAATTCAAGGGTAAGTGATAAATCTTACTTCGATCCAGTTCTGTCAGAGTCCCAACTTCTTCAAGGGTTACCTCAGTGAGTAAGGGAGAAACTAAACAAACAAAATACTCTTGCAGGGGCAAGTAGTGTCTTCCTACAATCATGCTGTTTTAGAGCTGGAATTAACAGTAAAAGTCACCAGATCTGGGCCTCCCTGGTGGCAAATGGTTTAAAGACAGTGCTTTCAAGCTACTGCCAGCAAATACAGCACAAGTTCAATTCCCAATTGGCCAAGGAGCTGACCACATGGCACAACATACCTCTGCTGCCGTGCCCTCTGCTCCCCACAGCAGTATATTTCAGTACCTGCCTATTCTGCTCCCCACTTTCTCTGGTGAATCCTCTCACCACCCCCCAGCCTCTGGTTGGCTTTATTTCTTATATGCATACATAAATAAATCTTTTTTAAAAATTCTACTTCCAAAAGTCACCAGATCTAATTCCTCTTATTTTATAGAAGAAACTGAGGCTTAGGAAAGGTAGTTGAAATACTCAGTCAAGCAGCTATTTTTAAATAATTTGTAGAAAAATAAAAACAGGAAATCAGTAAAATCATCATAAATTTTGAGGATCTTGGAGGTAAAAAGAGGGTCTGGCACAGTAGAGGAAAAGGAAGAGAGGAGTTGTAAAGAAGCTAAGTAATGGACCCTGAAATCAGCCCACTCTGAGTCCATAAGAATTTAATTTCCCTTCATTGTTATTTTATAAAATCGTGTGACTACCCTAACAGAGAAGTACAACTTCATGATAAAAGCAATAATAAAGCTAACAACTATAATGATGACTAAAGATCATCCAATGTAAATTACATATACATTTGCACATTATTCCTGTCAGGCATACATAACCATTTTGCAAATGAAAAGACTGGAGCTCCAAGAGATGAGGTAAACCTGACTGAGATGTCACAGCTAGTCAGTGGTGGAAAGCCGGGATCAAGGCATGATGATTCCAGAATTAAACATAGAAACTGGGCTCTTTGCCTTTGGGAGTGACAGTTTTTGCTGATTCTGCCCAGTCTACTAAGATTCCTTCAGGATCCTGTTCATGGTCATGTTCATCTTGCTGAAACACAGACTTAAAGTGTAAGTGAACAGATAGAATAGATAACCATAGAACAGTGTATGTGAACAGATACCCATAGAATTGAAGATATTTTCAAATGCAAAATAAATGAAAACAAAGAAACAAAAAGATGAATACGCCATCCAAGATGGAAGGAGTGGCCAAGACCATGAAGATAGACACCATGAGGTAGTGTCATCAGGAAAACGGGAGGGGCTGGGTTAAGAAGCCACTAAGGGTAAAATCAGAAAACAAGGCGCCATCTAGAGACCAACCACTGAGGGGTTCTCATTTGTGCTTCTGGCAGAAAACTTACTCAGTTTGTTAATGTTAGGCATTAGGGTACTCCATGTGTGTAAATATTCAGCTCTAAATCCATCCATGGAAAACAAAATAACTGGTGGCAAGTCAAATCTAAAAATGGAAAAGAAACAAGCAAAGAAAGTCCATTATTTTGATTGAAAAAAAAAAAGACACTTTTCTCTATCTCCTAAAATTCTCTAAATTAAAAATGTTTAGATAGTACAGTAACAAAATTGTGGTCAAATTTATTTTATTTTAAAAAATATTGCTACCTTCCTTAAGAGCCAGTACTTTGAGTACATTAGTCATTCCTAGTAAAAATATTTTTTTTAAAGAGTGTTGCATATATTATCTGAATCTTTCAACCATCCTTAGAATTTTGCAGTTTGAGTAACTTTGGCAAACTTTATTTCCATTTATTCTTTGGCATGGACTATCGATGACACATAGTGGTAAGAACACATGGAGCTAATTAATTGTAGTTTTGTAATCGAGGTCAGCAACATACATGCATAGCATTAAAACATCACCAGAAATGGGATTCTACATTGCAGACCTTTCTTGGCCCTGGCCTTGGCTAAAGAACCAAGACTGAAATCAAATTTCAAACTCAAAAATTATTAAAATTACAATTATTCTACCAACTTTTAGACATAACTATGATACAGAATCTCAAGACCTTCTAATTTATGTGATGTTTTATTCTGAGGTCGACTTGTTATGACTTTTTATGCTAAGATCTCGGGATATTAATATTCATTCAAAAACATCCCAAACTCTTTTAGACCCAGCAACATTTAAAATGATGGAACATAACTTTGTGGTTATAGCTAAAGACTATCTTTCTCATTCAAGTTTTTTTCACTTTTTAAATTTTACTTGTGGGCCCTCCCTGGTGGCGCAGCGGGTTAAAGCACTGCACTGAGGAGCTAGAGCCACTTCACATGAGTTCAATTCCCGCCTGCCTGGGAGGAGATCCACATGGTACGGCAGACCTCTCCAGACCCGCCCGCTGCTCCCCTCAGCAGTGTACTTCGTCGATCTGCCTGTTCTGTACCCCACTCTGTCTCTGGTGAATCCTCTCACCCTCTGCATCTCTCACCTGTACCCCAGTTCTGTACGAATAAATAAATAAATCTTTTAAAAATAAATAGATAAATAAATAAATTTTACTTGTGTTTCATGTACACAATCACATGTAATTAAAGATGTAGCATTTTATAATTTTTCCCTAAATGAACTCCACTGTGCAGCCATTAACCCTGCTAAGAAAGTGAGTGTTAGCAAGGACCTAGAAGCCTCTTCTGGTACTGTGGTGTAGTAACCAACCTCTACACACCATGCTTCTACCTCAAGTAACCTGTATCTTAATCTCTAACTACATATATTTGTTTTGTTTATGCTTGTACTTATATTTGTAAACAGGATCATATATTCTGATTAGTATCTACATATTTTACTTAACATTATGTTTAAAATTTAACTATTCTGTTGCATGTAGTGGTAAGTCATTCATTTTTATGTCTATCTGGTATTTCAGTGAATGAACAAACTAACTTATTATACAGTTGATGGCATGTGGATACTTTTGGTTTAAGATTATTAGGAAGAACAACTATAAACATACTAAGTGTGTCTAAATTCCAAACAGTGCATGCCAGTGAATATGTAAAAGAAATTTTCAACTCCATGCTCAAGCAGTTTTACATATAAAATTTTGAACTAAGAAATGATTTCCAAGGTAAGTCTTTTAAAATTCTGACAAACACCTAACATAATTAAAAAGAAAATTCTGAATGCTGATACCAGCATTTTAGGTTTTTAATGTGTCTTAGCAAAGCTAGTTACACTGGAAGATAATCTATTTGCATTTCCAGAATATGTACTTATTGTAGTGTACATAATTTTTAAAATATCAGAGTGAGATATTGAGCAATTTACTGAAAATAAACGGCATAAGTAATCGTGGTCCTTATCTAAGCAGTGAAACCAAGAAGTAAACATGTGGTTATAGGACAGATTTGAGTACAGGTTGCCATAACGCATAGAATGGAAAGTTTAACCTTTGTAACCCATCCATCAGGAACACAAGGTCGGGGCGCCTTCCCACACCAGCCATCTGGCTGTGCTGCCCCAAGTGGGTGAGGAAGCTAAGCCTCCATGCCCAAACCCTCCCCCAATGTCAATTCTCCCCAACACCCCAGCAACCCTATCCACCAGGAGCACCCTGGAGCCTTGCAAAGCAGCAGCCATTAAAAAGCCAGGCACGTGCCCAACCACAGTGACCCACTGATACATGTGATACCACTTGAATTTCAAAAACATTCAGTTAAGAAAAAAAAAAAAAGCACCCAAACAGACTCAAGAGAACATATGGTATCATTCCTTTTATAAGAAATTCTAAAACTGAATCTATATTGATAGATAACAGAAGTTATCTTTCTGTGGGGATCGAAGTATTCTATATCTGAGAATATCCGAGAATACTCCCTATCTGTGGAGTATACAGATTTACAAATTCAAAATTTCATTAGGGTGAATATTTCAATGTATGTGAACTATACCTTCATGAAAAAATAAAGATGGAAGTGAGAATGTTTTAGCTACAAAGTGTAAAAATTCAGAAGGAAATTAAAATGGGCAAATGCCATCTGAATTAGAAAATTTTTCATTAAGTCATTAGCATATGGCTGATTAAAAATCTTATATTCATAAATATACAGTCACGTTAATTTGCAGTCTAAACAGATTCAAACATTCACTGGATGATGATACTGACTTAATTCTCACATGAAATTGTCTGACCTTGATGTTTTTATTAATAGTTTATTATTATTATTATTATTGTTATTGTTATTGTTACTATTATTATTATTTTGATTTTATAAGTGAGACTTAGAGAAGCAGTTAGTACAAGTCAGAATTCAAACTCAAACCTCCTAGTACTTGGAACAGAAGAGAAAAGTAAGGTAGGAAGTAGCAGAAATAAGTGGCAGCTAGTGAAAAGGAGAAATGGACCCAGACTCAGAAGACGCAGGCCCTGTTTTCCAGAGCTGAGAAAACCAGGGCGCTGCCCTCAGGTGCAGGAGCTGCAGGGGGTGGTGGGCTGCGGGTTGCCCAGTACCGAGCTTGTCACCGGTACCACCTGACAAAGTCCTCCACTAGTCGTTCATGGTCCTCATTTCACCGTGAGGCCATCAATTAATAAACCTCTGTTGGTCCCCTCAGAGTAAATTTGGGGTGCCAGGGTAGTTCTGCATGGAGTAATCTAAATGCTGGTCCTGACCTTGGGGATGTTAGAATTTAATTCCATTTTTTTTTTAAAGTCATTGTAAGACAGGAATATAACAAGTTCTTTGCAAATAATAAAGCAAAACAGCAGTCTACAATGAATTTGAAAGTACAAGGTGTCTTTTTTTGTCAACTGCCTGCTTTAAAGTGAGGAGAAGAGGAGGAAATTCCTCCCTGCTTCTCAACGACTGATACCTTGCCCTATGCCAGTTTGCTAAAGAAAGAAAATCCCCACATATTCTCACCCTTGTGGACACTGAGGTTTCTGGCTAGCAGCACACTCCTCTTTCACCCATGGAGTTTCTCCTGAAAAGCAATGAGATCAAAGTCTTTAGAATGTCGCATCACAACCAGAAGAGCAAGACAAATATTCAACAGATATGGGCTTTTAAAATTACTTAATTCATGTTATTCCAATGACTAAATTCCTCAGAATATATCTGGTGCTATTTCACAGGCTGGCAATGCCAGTTCCTCTATGACTTATACTAGCTGAACACCTGACAGCTCATCTGTATCAGAAGAAAACAAAGGAAGTCCTCTAGCCAGAAAGGAACAATTTATTTTCCTTGATGGCAATTTTTCTCAAGTGCTAAAAAATTAATTTTATCAATGTACATTGTTAATTTAAACAAAAGAAAAGAAAGCATAGCAATGCGAATAACTGGCATTAATGGGGAATCACACAAACTGTGAAAATCTTTATTTTGAAAATTTCTTCTCCATAGACATTTCTGTCTATAGAACATTCCAGCCAATGAATGTAACAGAAATGGTAGACTGTGGATGGCATCATTTATAACCCCTAATAGATTTAGACAATGATCACCAATGGCTAACATCCCCAAAAGGGACTTGAGCAAGTTGTGCCTCTTGATGACTGTAACTCCACCACCTAGAAAGCAAACTTGTTAAACACACACGCATACACCCACAACCCCCTCAATTTGAGTGATCCTCTGGTCCTAAATACCAACTTCTAGGAATTACAAACAATGACAAACTTCTTCTCCATGTCATGAGGCGGGCAACTGCAAAACTTGGACTCAAAAGAATGATTCCATTTTCCAACATTTAAGTTGCAAAAGGGAACAAAAGAGGAAGAGAGAATTTACCTTTAAAGGACTTTTACAACTGAGAGCTAATCCACTATATTATACACAATCCACTCAGTCTATTTCAATCTTTTTTAAAAAATATGAGATAGGGCCCTCCCTGGTGGCGCAGCGGGTTAAAGCACTGCACTGAGGAGCTAGAGCCACTTCACATGAGTTCTATTCCTGCCTGCCCCGGAGGAGACCACGTGGCGCGGCAGACCTCTCCTGACCCACCCGCTGCTCCCCTCAGCAGTGTACTTCGTCGATCTGCCTGTTCTGCTCCCCACTCTGTCTCTGGTGAAGCCTCCCACCGGCCCTGAGCCTCTGGCCTATACCCCAGTTCTGTATGTACAAATAAAGTAAATCTTTAAAAAATATATATATGTATATAATGAGATAAACAGAAATTATGAAAACTGGATAGTTGATGACAGTAATAGTTATCAATGAGATTTTATGTGTATTAATAGTATTATAATTTGAGTTCTCTTTTTTAAAGAATATAATGAAAGTATAAGTAAATGATACTAACTCTAGGATTTGCTTCAAAATAATCTAAAATTGAGGAGGGGCTGAGCAAAGAGTATAAATACATATTTTTTAAGAAAAAACACTCCAAACTTAAAAATTAGCAAAAGGATTGCTCACAAAACTTCATTTTTTTCATTTCAAATTTTTAAAAAATGTTTATTTTTACATCATTTTGTGCATTTTTCCATCTCAGTTGTAATCCCCATGGGCTTCCCATCACCAAATCACCCGTGTGCCATCACCGTAGTCCAGTGCACTGCCTCCCCAACCCCGCCACTGCACAAAACTTCATTTTAATATGCTGAGAATTATCCTGAAAACCTTGATATGGATAGAAAACTAATAGCAATCTTAACTTTCTTACCTGAAAGGAAATAATTGTAGAAATGCAAATTATGTTGATATCACCATAAATTACTGTTTCAGTAACTATTCAATATTCTTTCAGTCCTATCTTCATTCTCTTTGAGTCAGCTTAACATTCATCCCAGTTGATTACCTTATAAATCAATTTTTGATGTGCTCACTTTGCATTCATGAGTCATATTTTTTTTTCTTTTTCAACATTATATATTGTAAATATGAGATAAGATAGACATGAGTTAATAATTGCTGAAGCCAGATGATGGACATATGGGGGAAAATATGCTATTCTCTCTTTTGTAGATAATAGAAATTAACTGTCAAGTTTTTAAAATTCTAAATTTAAAATATAAATTACCTAGCTTCTCACACAAAAATTATTTAAATCCCCTCAACCTACTCTTATGATGTAATTTGGCAAAAATCATCTAACATTTTTACATATAATGTGTTAAATCCTTTGAATCAAAAAACACTGACATTTCAAAAGTAAATTGAAATGATTAAACTAACACCCATCACATATCAAATAGTGGCAATAGTAAATTTCAAATAATATTGCACAGTGAATTCAATGGGAATTTTGACATGACCTGAGGCTCACTCTTGGAATAAAAAGTTGAGATTTAAAATGGGGTGAAAAGCAGAATGAAGCTGTCAAAGGCAATAATATGGTCCATGAAATTGTTAGATAAGTAAGCAAAATAGAATCTAATTGACTTTATGAATCTTAATGACAATGATCACTATTCCATATCAATTATTATTTTAAGAAACATTATCATTTCAGGTTTTTATTCTCCTTTCTGATGGACATTTTTAACTGACTTATTTATTCATGCAAGCTAGAAGTGGGATACCCACCTCAGAGGTGGGGGGTGGGGTGTGTGTGTGAGAGGATTCACCTTAAACAGAGTGAGAAACAGAAAAGGTGAATAGACTAAAATACAATGCTGCAGAGAGCAGTGGGTGGACAGGAGAAGTCTGCTGCGCCATGTGGGCCACCTCCCTGGCTGGGAATCAAGCTCGTGCTGCAAGGGGCTACTGATGACTTCATAATGTCGAGACTTCATCACCAGGGAGGCCCCTTTAGCTGATTTTTAATTGTATTTTATACAAAATTGATTCATCTATTAGTGCAAACCTATTTTCTACTAAAAGCTTACTGTTTCTACTATAACATTTCCCCCTATCTAAAAAATACCAAAATTCACTTAATCTCTTTTTCTATTTAAAAGTTTTAAAAGGATAAGCCACTTATTTCGGTGGAGTTAGCATTATGAAAAAAGGATTGTTAGCTTTTTAAAAAAAAAAAGATTTACTTATGCATTACAGAACTGGGGTACAGGCCAGAGAGGAAGGGACAGTGAGAGGATTCAGAACAGGTTGACTGACAAAAGTACACTGCTGAGGGGAGCAGCGGGCATGTCAGGAGAGGTCTGCCACGCCATGTGGTCACCTCCGGGGCAGCCGGGGATCGAACTCATGTGTAAGTGGCTTTAGCTTTTAGTGCTGGCTTTAACCCGCTGCGCCACCAGGGAGGGCCCAGATTGTTAGCTTTTAGCAACTTTCTTGATAAGTACATTGTGTAAATGTTCAGCAACTTGGGAAAGATTGATGATTTTTATTAAAAAATCTACATCACTTACAAAGGATCAAGTGGGTAGAATTAGAAGTTGAATAACCTGGATTCTAGTTTTGGCTCCACATCAACTCTCTGAGGGTATTACGAGTAATTTAACCACTAAGGACAGTTGCTTCAAAGATAGCACAGGCTTGATATGTACACCAGATGATTATTTTCATTATTGTTAACTGTAGGATCTGTCATGTGGTATCTCAAATCAAAGGGAGATCTAACAGTTACTGAAGAAAAAAAGACCTGAATTGCTGATGAATATCAAGCTTTAAGTTTCCCTTCTATCTTATAATATCTATGTAGTACTCTCTCCTCCTCTCTAGTCAAAAAACACATTTCTTGCTTTCTTTCAGCCAAAACCACCATCTTTCAGTAACCAGAATAATCAAAACACAAGGACAGAGAACACCTGCTATATACTGTTTCTTAAGACCTTTTAGAAAATAGAGTTGTCGTTTTGGCTGTAAACTCGTGAATCTACAGAAAGGTGGAATCGTAGACATGGAGGGTAAGGGCACTGTTCAAAAAGGAATGTACCACAAGTGTTACCACAGCAAATCTGAAGTGGTCTATATGCAGACCCAGGAAGCAGGCTTTGTTGTAAACAAGCAAAGAGCAAGACTCTTGTGAAGAATAAATGTTTACATCACACATATTAAGCCCTTAAGGAGTCAAGATAGCTTCCTGAAATTTGTGAGGAGAAATGACCAGAAAAAAGTAAGCCAAAGGGAAAGGTACTTGAGGACAAATGAAGTAGGTAGCTGCCTGTTCTACTCAGGAAAGTACACTTTGTGTGAACCAAGAAGGGAGCCAGAGCTGCTAAAAGCAGCTATAAATCCATGGAAGAAGAATTATAAAAAAAAAAAATTATAAACACACACCAAAAACCCCACATCTCTTCCTACAATAAACACATTGGTCTTTTCTCCTAAATGAAGTAGATGAAGTTTCTCTGACTTAATTTTTGCAACCTAAGCCAGCTTTAGGGTCACTGGACTCAAAGCCAAGAGTCCACATCTTCTGCTTACCTTGGCAAACACTTTTATAGTCAATGCAGCAGTCTTTCCTCTGCAAACAGTCATCGGAGCAAGAGCAAAGGCTGGACTGTAGTCTGGCCTCCCCACACCGAAATTTATTGCATGTCCATATGTGAGCTGTAAAATTACACAATTCAGTTCTGAGCATTCATATAGCTGATACCACAAATGCAAATTGTATGCTTATTTACTTGCATTATTGTGATAGGGTTAAATTCATGAAAATGTGTAATACAAATGAGGGTAATCCATCACTCTTACTCATTTAGGTGGCAGAGAAAAATGCCATGTTACAAAGAGCAAGCACACCTCTGAATTTGGAAACTTTGAGCACTACCCTTTGCCCACCTAAAGGTGGGAGTTCCCAATGGTGAAGAACCACTCTCCCCAAATGATTTTTGCCACTGAAGAGCAGCTTTGTTCAGCCTTGTTGAAGGGCTTGTAAGAAGAGACAGTGACAGAAAAAGCAACAGGAACAGTCAAAGCTGCAGTCATGAACACACGTCAGAGTAGCTCCCAGCTGATGTGACAGAAGTGTCAGATTAGTTCCACACCACAGGCTAAGGCCTTTAAGTATATTCTAATGCTAAGAACAAGAAGTTGGAACAAGACTTCTTCCTGTTGCCACAGGCTAGGAAACAGTGATTAAAGTGAATATCAGTCCTGTGCTTTGTTGGAGAGGTGACTGGTATGTGGTTCTATTGTATATAAAGTTCTTCACTCCCAATTATTTAATATTTACTTAGAAATAAAAGACTTTTGGATATTAAGTAGAATAAAGGAAACTCAGATCTTATCTCTACCAGGCAGTCCCCTCCTTCTTGCCCTTTATGAGAGCATAGTGTAAGGAACTGGCCTGTTTAAATCTTCACTCCCCTCAACCATTAGACCCATACCTTCCCCTTCCCACAACTTTCTCTTATTTCTTGGAAAAATTAAACCTTGCAAATTGTCTTCCACCAAGAAAGCAGTGTTTCTCAAATTGTGTTCTGTCAAGTGGTGGCATCAGTATCACTTAGAATTACCAACTTTTCCAGTGAGTCCCATGCATTTTGAAATTTGAGAGCCACTGCAAATGGAACTAAATAAGATGATTAACTTCAGCCTTGATAAAACCCCATAGAAACTGATATAACTATGCAGGATTTTTCCTACTGTGGCCTGTTACATCTCTAGTTCAAGTAAATAAGGTGCGAACACTGCATTTCGGACAGTAAGGGAGAATAACAGGTTCTATATTTCAGGTGTTATTGGGTGAGCAGCTCTCCTGCCTCTACTGTGAATGTGAGGGTGCCTATCTTTCTCCTTTTCCTAGTAAACCTGTCTTTTAAAATGTAAAATAACAATGATAACAATATTTCATTGGTTAAATTGTGTCTCCCCCAAAATGTTGAAGTCCTAACTCCCATGACCTGTGACTATGATCTTATTTGAAAATGGATCTATGTAGATAATGAAGTTGAAATGATGTCAAAGGGAAAATCTGGACATAGAGGAGATGTAAGGAAAATGCCCTGTGAAGGTGTGCCACAGCTGGAGTTATGCTTCCCAAGCCAAAGAACACCAAGAACTATGAGGAGCCAGCCCACCAGAAGCGAGGAGAAAACAGCATGGACCTTCCCTCACAGCCTTCAGAAGGAACCCACCCTAACAAAATTTAGATCTTGGACTCCTAGCTTCCAAACTTGTGAGACAATGAGCTTCTTTTATTTAGGTCACCCATGTGGTACTGTATCACGGCAATTCTGGCAAACACAGAATATTTGAACATGCATTCATGGCAGGACAACCAACATGTTCCTAAATACATACTTGATTCCATACAGGTGTCTTCAAAATCCCAGCAACAGTCACCTCGTTCTTTACATCCCGTATCACACCGGCAGTTCTCCAGTCCTCTGTATGATGAATCAAAGCATTTTTTCCTGCAGCTGCCTGTATAATAAAGGAAATTGGAAAACTAGTGCTTGGAAATCATTCACTCTCACAGTTAGACAGTGGAAGCACAGAGAAGTACTTAGCATGAGCTAGGATGAACAAACAGAACATTTTTATGATGCTGTATGACCTATGAGTGGAATGTGAAAAGAAGCACCGATATGTACAAGGTACACATAGGAGGATCAAGAGGGATGTGGGATTTAAAGTAACAAGAAGGTGTAGAGGACCCCACTGAATCATAGGGAGAGATCAGGATTTTTTTTTAATGAAGCTAAGGTTGGCAAATGTGGACAGGTCATAGCTAAGGAACAGCATTCAAAGGTGAAGATGGATTGGTGAGAAGAAATGTATTTATGCCATACCAAGAAGTTTGTCTAACTTTTGGTAGCAAAAAGTCACTAGAATAAAAAGAGGACAAGTCATCAGATCCGTGTTTTAGACACTTGTTCTGGAAAACAGGTAAGCAAGGTTGATGGAAACTCTCGATCATCAAGTAGGTGACTTCAATCCAAACCACAAATGTTAAGGACCCAAAAAGGGGGCAGGTAGGTGGCAGCAGGCACTGGAAAATATAAACAGGACTAAAAGAATGACTTTACATAAAGAATGAAAAAGTGGGATGAGTTAAAGAAGAGTTTTACTAAGTAAGCCAGGTTCTCAGGAGAAGGTTGGTAGAGTTTCTTGGATAAACAAGCAAATATACATTGGATGGGAAGTCTGATTCTCAGGAGAGAAAACTGAACACATTCAGTTGGGAGCCACCAGCATTTTAGTGGTAATAAGCAACAGGAAAGCTGTGGTTCTATTGTTCAAAGATTCTGTACTCATATAAGCCAATTCCCCCTGCTGTGTGTTTTCTTCAAATATCATCCATCATGCCCTGTGATACTGCTTTGAACTTTGTACTTTAAGGGATTTACCTATGTAATTTGGCAATAAAGAGGGTTTAGACATTGCTTAGGGAAATTCCAACTACGTATATCCTATCCTCTTTTCTTTTAAAATTGCACAGAATAGCATCACTATGTGTCAGGCACCATGTAAAACACTGGGGATAAAATGGTAAGTAGCAGTGATATGGTTGGAGATTTTATATTAAGAAATGTTTTTAAAATAGTAACTGCACTGGTTTATAGTAAATATTGCAAGGTGCTAGGACAATTGGTTAATCTCATGGAGAAAGGAGGAGTCCCTTGATATCTTGTATACTGCTTTACATACAGGTGGTTAAGGGCATATTTTTGGATACTCAACTTCAAAATAGACTAAAATGATTAAAGATGAGTACTAGTATAAAATCACTGACAGATCCTAAAGTGAGAGATCTCCCTGATACATATTATTATAGTTTGGCTATGAAAGTCATAAAATGAAAGACCAAAATAGAAAAATGCACAAAATGAAGAATGATGTAAAATAAATATATGTGTGTGTATACATATATGTATACACATACATATTTAAATTTTTTTAAAATATGGGATTTAAAAATTATTAAGTTTACATAAAATAGAATCACAAGGATTTCCAGATATATAAAGAATTTGCTTGAAAACTGTGCACAGTTTTAACAACTTCGAGAAGTGCTTGCGTTATTCTTTGGAAAAGAACAGCAAGCTATGAAATAGCATATCGTTTTCTTAAACATGGCCACTGGTCATGTTCCTCAAAAAATAAGTCAGAAAGAACAAGGGGAAAGCAGTTTCGAAAAAGACACGCAACCTAAACCAGAGTACAGAAAATGGATGCAGAATAAAAATGAGAATTAGAAAAAAACAGAATGAGGAAGCAAAAACTATGTGCCTAAGAGAAAGAAGCCCTAGGAGAGAGAAAAGCCAACTGACTTTTCCTAGGGACCCCAGAGAGGTCCCAGACGAAAGGCATCTGCATTTGGTGAGGTCAGTGGGAACATACACAGAAGCTGAGCAGAGTGAAATGGCTGACAGTCTGGATATGAAACCGTGACTATGCACCTTCATCCCCTTCAGAGTAAGAGGCTCAAATCTGAAAGAATTTAAAGGTGGCATTCATCACAGAGAGAGTAGACATACCGTTATGATGAGAGATGTGATAGGCAGAATTTTGGCTCCTGAGAAGATTCTGTCTCAGTCCAGGAGATTATTAATAGGCTGCCTTATGTTGATGTATGTATTTGGTTGATATATGTAATTAACACTACCATTTAGTTGACAGGGGGAGAAAGGACCCAAAAGTGAAAGAAAAATAGAGGTTACTGAAGAAATTATATTACAAAATTTCCCAGAACTAAGGAGCATAAATTGTTATATTAAGATAAACCACTAAATTTCCCAGAGCAAAATTTATACTAATGGATCAACAAAGATAAAGAGATCTTAAATGCCCCAGAGAGGAGATCACAAGCAGTCTATGAAAGATCTCACAAGGTCCTATCATCAAGTTTCTTAAAAGCAACTCTGAAAGCTAGAAAAGTGTATCTTTCGATGTTTAGAGAAAATTATTTTCATTTTAGAATTTAATATCTAGCAAACTATCCAGTATTTGGTTATGATGATAAAGATATCTGTAGATCAGTAAGAAATCAAATTGTATTTCTCAAGCATTCTAACATGGGAAGTTAATGAAGGTTGTTCTTTAGCAAAATGACTGAAAAAATATAAGATCCAGCGCAAAAGAAAAGCTGTGGAAACACCAACCATACACCAAAACAACAAAGTGTGCAACCAACTCAGATAGGTACAGCAAGACAATTTCTATAAAAGGTATCACCTTATACCCAGTTTTAAACTGTCAAAAATGAGAGCCAGATAATGCCTTAGGTTGGTGGGGATACCTGGGAAAAGCTAGGTAGGCTGTGGCAATCATTCTAGCAAGCAAACAGACTATTTACCCAAGTTAAAATATAAACCTTAGGACTCAATTCCATTTCTGGGCAAGTGACAAAACCTATCTCACACAAGTCTCCAGGAGAACCTGCAGAATTTATGTGGTGTTTAAGGAACTAAAGTCAACCTTGGTAACTTTCACTGGGCGAGGGTAAATCGCATGTTGGCTACATGCCAAAAAAGTACTACATAGTAGACAGAAAGAAGTGCACAAAGCACTTCATGCAAGGATCTTAAAAACCAAGCAGTTAAAAAGAAAGAAAAAACCTTCTCGTATATCTATATTATGTATATCTGCATATTCACATATTATACTCATATATATGCACACGTGTATGTATGTGTTTTACTAAAAGGTTTCTTAAACGTTTCAACTTTAAATATTTTAAAATGTTTCAAAGATGAGTAAATGGGAAAATACTGTTTATGTAAAAGACTTTCACATGTTTACAAAAACTCTCCTCCTTTGCAATATTTTCCTCCCTTGGTTGATCAGGACACAATTGCCTGACTTCCCTCCCCACATTCTGACCATTCCCTTTCCAAGTCTTCATTTCTTTCCTCCCTTCATTTCCCTGCTCCTTTTACACGGGTGTACCCATTCTCTAGTTACATTGCCTTAAATCCCACAAATGATGCTGATGGCCACTGCATGGGGTGGGTGTCTATCCAGGTCTTCCCCTCTAACACAAACCTCGCATATATAACTATCTTAACTTTCCCCTGGAAAATCAAGTAGAAAACCTCAAATTTAACATATCCCCAAATTGTTTCTGATTATTTTCCCCAAACTTCCTACAGTTTTCCTCAAGTAGATTATTGAGATTCCTTATTTTCAGATGTTCATGCCAGAAATTCTTCAGGTTATTCCTGAGTCTTCTCTTTCTCACTCTATATCCAATCTGTCAGTAGAGTGTATACATTCCATCCAAAGACTCCAGATTACAAATATTTCTCAACAGTTAAAAATGCTACCATTGTTGAAATAAGGCTTATTGGTATTGCAATAATTTACTAATTGGTCTCACTACTATTGATTTTATTTTTGTCAATTATTTATAAAACAGCAGCCCGTATGATTGTGCTGAAAAGCAAACTACAGCATGTTAGTCTTCTGCCAAAACTTTCACTCACTTCCTATCACACATAGAATAAAAACCAAAAACCATATTTTGACCTCCCAACCAGCTATGATCTGGCTTTTCTGGCTGATACAACTCTATGACTACCCTCCTCTAGTCCTCTTAATCTACCTCACTTTCTTGTTATTCTTTAAATGTTCTTGTTATTCTTTAAATGGAATGTGACAGACAAGCTTAGGTTTGTACTTGCTATTTTGTCATACCTCGACTATTCCTCCCCAATGTATCCGTTTCCCCCTCACATCTTTCAACTCCATTCTAAAATTATTTCACACACATACACCCTACCCCACCTCACCCCAAGATTTCATCTTCCCCTTTTCAGTTTTATTTATCCCTCAACATACTTGTTACAGACACACCTCCATGATGCGGCAGCAGTATTTTCCTCACTGCCCCCCCTTACAAGCCACCTTGGGTTTACAATCCCAGTATGTCATTAACCAACTTCCTGAGGGGTTCTACTCGTGACTGGGGCAGAGCTGAATGACAGGTGGGTCTATATAACATGGAAGTCAGGCAGGCCAACTCTCTTGCTTCTGTAGCCCTGACTTGAGCCCTTGTATTGCTGGGAGAAGAAACTCATGGAAGAGACAGGCAGAGACACCTGGAAGTGATACTTGGAAAATTCACATGACTGAGAGACATGTGGAGAGGCTGTTCCAGGCAGAGACAATGGTGATCATTATCTTGTCTTCACATTGGGATGTGAGGTACATTTTGAATTTTGGATTGTTCCTTCTGTCCCAGCTCTCTGGGATTTGCCAAGCCACTTCCTTAGAATTCTTTGCCACAAGGTTCCTTAAACTGATGGCAAGTTTGCCTGTCACAGCAGCCCTGCTGTGAATGGAGCCTATGTGACTGAGCATTTGCCAAGAGGGGATGGAAAATTTTCAGAGTTTTATAAGGAATCTCCATCTCTCGCCCTCTCCCTGTACCACCACCACTTCTATTAAAGATCTATAGCACTAGGACTATGTTTCCTTTGGCGTATGCATGTGGATGGCTGAATCACTTTTAGAGAATGTACCCTTTTATAGCTGGGGTCCTGGGTACCCCTGAGTTGGGTGGCTATGATGTGCATATGTATGTGTGTCTATATAGGCATATATACTAGATTATGACCTATTTATATATTTTTAAAGATTTATTTATGCATACAGAACTGGGGTAGTACAGGCCAGAGGTACAGGAGTGGTGAGAGGACTCAGAGACAGAGTGGGAGCAGAACAGGCCGATCGACAAGAGTAGCAGGCAGGTCAGAAGAGGTCTATCATGCCATGTGGATCACCTCCAGGGCTGGGGATCGAACTCACACTGAAGTGGCTACAGTTAGCTTGCAGTGCTGAGTCCTAACCCGTTGCATCACCAGGGAGGCCCCGACCTGTTTATATTTTTATTATCTATCTTTCATGCCAGAATGTAAACTCTATGGGGCTTTTGTCTATTTTTTTCACCACTAACAAGGAAGTACTCCTAGTAATCAGTAATATCTAGAATATACTCAGTACTCAATTGTTGACAATAAGTAAAATGTGTATACACAACACACGTTAAGAACACATAGAAGCTCAAACTTTAAAATCCCACATTAGATAAAGACATATTTTGTCGGAGACCAGCTCCAACTCTTGAGGTGTCTGGAGGCAGGAAGGGAAGGCGTCGGCATGCGGAGATTCCAGGAGGCGGAGAGGACGCGAGGAAGACACAGGAGTCAGGATTGGGTGCAAGTCTTCCTCCTCATCTTTTTGCAGGTCTTTATTTATACTGTTTAGCAAGATTTTTTTTACAATAATGCCTTAGGTGAGTTAATAAGAAACCGACATAAAAGAGGGGAATAATGCATCTTCTTCCTGCTACTTTATGGCACACTATACTATACATCTTTGTGATAACTTTCATGTGTATGGATGTTTAACTGTGACTTTAAAGGATCAGGGTCTGGGAAAGGATGAGCTGTTAGCAAAGGATTTAAGAGTCCTAGGGAAGGAATAAATTGTGTTAGCATAGTCGTCAGTGATAGCCTAAAGAGAAGCTAATGGCTAATTTAAGGTTAGCAAGGAGTAGCTAGTGCTTTTTTAGGAAGAGGTTAAATAAGATTAGCAGAGAGTAGTTAGTGATTGTTTTTAGGAAAAGAGTAAATTAAGAAGAAGTTACATAGTTGTGCATTAAGCAAAACCTGTGTTGATAATGTTAGGAAATTGTCCATGGGTCCTTATGCCCTGAAAGTTATCTTAAGAATCGCTTTTTGTCAAAAGACCAAAGAAGTTTTCCAGGAGTTTTGATGCTCTGGGGTCTTATCTCTCCAGGAGCTTGCCTTTTGTCTTCAAAGGAATTTCCTGCCCAGGAGCAGCTCAGCTTGTACTTTGCCCAGGCCAGGTAGCCAATTTAGAGCTAAGGCAAGCCAGTTACAAACTGATGTTGCTGCAATATTTTTTGATATCATGATCATACAAAAAAGGTAGGTCATAACATAAGTTAGCAGAGGAAATTCTGATATTTCAGAGCTTTTCCCGAGCTATCCGGAATCTGTCAGATGATAGCCGTTACATAGCTTGTGTCAATATTTCATACAGAAAATGGCTTAACTGGAGCAAAGAATAATGGAATTGGTTCAGGGTTGGGGGACTAGGCAACAGTTGAAGTAGAAGAATGAATGTGGTAAGGACTCTCGCAAACAGGAACTAGACTTAAATGCCCATACCTTGGGTGAGTGGGCATTTAACTCTGGGAAGCCAGCCAGTTAGCAGATTAGGTAAGGAAGAGAGTGAAAGAGCCAAATAATCAGAGATTTTCTTCAGAGATAAGTACACACATGATTGCAATTTTCATGATTTGTGGGATAAAGTGACACAAGCTATGCAACTTCTATTGACTGACAAATTATGGATAGAAAAGAAAAGCTCTGAAAAAATCAGAATTTCCATGCTAGCTCATGTTATGACCTCCCTTTTTTATAATATCAAAATATTCTGAGCAACCATCAGCATGCAACCAGACTGATTGCCTTTGCCTCATACAGCGCTACCTGTTCCGGGCAAGCAAGTGCTACCCGAGGGTGGGAAATTCTTAAAGTCAAAAATATTACAATGGGCTGATTAATAAAAGCAATCAGCTGTTATAGCAAAATCAATACTGTAAAATAAGGCAGTACTAGAACATGTTAAAAATAACGAGTTCTTTTACTGCCTGGATGACAATCCAAATCTTACCTCTCTACTAGCTTACTTAAGCTTTCTATTGCTTAGTCTTTAAATGAGAAATGTTACTATCTCCTTTAGTGATTTACCTACAAGAAAATTTCTCCACCCTAATCCTCCACTTTACCCTCTTTCACAACTTTACCTTGGCCTAACCTAACTTTATCCTCCTTCACATCTCCAGCCCAGGCTCCACCCTAACCCTCGACTTTACTCTAAGATGTCTCAATAAGAATGACGGTCATTAAGTAGCATTTAAGGTTTAAAGGGACTGTATTTTAGCCAATCACTGTGATATAATAATGTTAGCTTTAAATTTTATGAATTTATGTACCTATCTTAATTTTAATAGATTTTAAGAATAAATGTTATAATCTCAGCTGAAGGTCAATATGACAAAGTATTCTCAGGAAAAAAAGATGATTGTGATCTCAGCCCACATATGCTAATGTTATCTCATTGCTTGCTTGAAATGTATAAAATAAACTGCTAACAGCAGAACAGGGAGACTTGCACCCAACTTGGTTGAATAAATGACACTTAAAACCCTTTTTCCCTTTTTTAGGAATCTCCACTTGATGCTGCTCCCACCTTAAGACCCTGCTTGTTCTGCCCCCCAACAACCCATGATTGGGGGTCAATTCCCAAGAGTAAAGTAACCAAGAAATGATGTATGCACTATTCTAATATACCACCTATATGTACACTAACTTCAGAATAATGTCACCATAGGCCCACTCACATTTTAGATCTAGGATTGGTACAGTTCAAAAACAGTTAAATGACTGAGAATAGAATAAATTTCCAGCTAACCTCCACCTTTTCAGTGTTCCCATGTTACACAAGGGTTTCTGAGAGTTTATTTATCTTTAGTAAAAACATAATTAAAAAATTGTCAGTTAACCTCACCAAGTGTTTCTCTAATGAAGAATTTCCCCACCAAAGTCAGAAGTTAAATAGTCAAATTAAAAGGGGAAAGTCAGGCCACTCCCTGGTGGCGTAGCTGGTTAAAGTACAGCACTAAGAAGCTAAAGCCATTTCATCATGAGTTCAATCCCCAACCAGGGAGGTGACCCACAAGGCATGGCAGACCTCTTCTGACCCGCCCACTGCTCCCCTCAGCAGTGTACTTCTTCTGACTGTTCTGCTCCCCAATGTCTGGTGAATCCTCTCACCGCCCCTGCACCTCTGACCTGTACCTCAGTTCTGTATGCATAAATAATTTTTTTAAGTAAAAAGGGGAGAGTCAATTATCTCACATTTGACCTCATACTTTCCCTTACTAAAATACCAAAACAAGGCATAACAAAATTATAAAACAGTGCTTATTAGTCACCTGTAATGTGTTTACTGTTTATACAAATAAACACATAAGAGATACAAGGTGTTTTTGTATTAGAAGGCAAATTATCAAAGGGATATTTTATTCTATACATTTCAAAAATGCAGCACTGACTGCTTAACCAAGAAAATGCGAGACTTCAGAACTAGAGTAATAATAGTGTGATAAATCAGAGTATACAGGAGTCATGGCAGGAGACCACAGGAATAGAAGAACAAAGATTTCAGCCATGTTTTCCATTAAATCTCACTGATTACAGTGTATGTTCCAATGACAAAGTCCTCTACTGAAAATGAAGAAGGGGAATAACTGGAATCACATGTATCTCAAAAGAGCAAAGGGGTGAGAGCAAAGAGTAAAGTCAAGAAATGATACTAAATAATGCACACCACAGGTGTACACCTCAGAAGGTGGGGCTTGGGAGGGAAAGCCACAGTAGGTAAATGTTCCTTTTGGAAGAGACTGCTGGGCTAGCACAAGATTTAAAAGGTCAAGGTCAGAAGAAAGATTCTTAGAAAACACTGAGGGGCATACCTTGCTCTAGAGGTTTCTTGAGTCCAAGCCCCAGGCCTAATCCAAGTGTCACAATCACCAATACAGCAAGAAGAACCTATTAAAAAAGGGAAAAGTAAACTTTGGCATTTTTTAAACATATGCAAAGATACATATAACTACTCTCCCTCCATGGATTCCTAATTACAATAATACCAAACTCCATAATGATAGAAGCATGTAATTCTAATGACTACAAATAAATGTTTGGGAAGAATTTTAAATGCCATTTATTACAGATCTTCAAATTAAGATATATTAGGCTGTGAGTTCAACCCCAAATTCATTTATGATAAGAATAAAATCTTAGGGACCCTCCCAGGTGGAGCAATGGATTAGGTGGAGCAATGGATTAGGGTGCAGCACTGCAAGCTAGCTGCAGCCGCTTCAGTTTGATCCCCCAGCCCCGGAAGTGATCCACATAGTACGGTAGACCTCTCCTGTCTGCACCCCTCAGAAGTGTACTTTGTTGATCTGCCTGCTCCCCACTCTGTCTCTGGTGAAACCTCTCATCACCCCTGCACCTCTGGGCCTGTATTCCAGTTCTGTATGTATAAATAAAGAAATCTTTAAAAAAGAGAATAAAATCTTAGGAACCATTTACCATTGCTCATAACTAGATACTAATTTGAAGACTCTCAAAAAGCATTCTAGAACTGAAATCACTGAAAAAGGATTTTTCACCCACTCTGGCCATCAGAAGATAGAATAACTTAAGTAAAAACATAGCGTCCAAAAAATTATCTACAGCCCACACAAATGAGTTTATGGCAATTTAGAAGTTCAGTAACTAAAAACTGTGTGTCAAACACTGTTACTGCTGACTAAGTTCTTACCTATAATGAACTTTATGCTAACACTAGAATTAAACTGTGATATACTAAAAGAGAATTCTTTCTGTTACCACTTTGCCCTTCTATCAAGTCCAATGATAAGGATGGGTTTCAATGATTTATATTGCCATAAAGATAATGGAGCAGTTATAAATTACTTAGGAAAGTACTTTACAACCCAGTAATTTGGTAATTAAAAAAGCATTCACTTTGATGAAAGAAAAAAAATCAAAATTTGCTTTATAATGAAGAGCTACATGAACAACAGCCTTTTGTTTGTTTTAATTCTAAATATCAATGGTAAGGTTAAAATATCTAACTCTTAGAATGAAAGTGTTCATAGGCAATTAAAGGCTAATGAGGGAAATAACTCCTTATATGAAGTCTCAAATTTAGTTCAAAGGTTGGTGACCTACCAGCAGGTATTCATTCCTTAGAAGGTGAACATAAAGTTATTAAATAACATTAGCTCTTAGCCCCTTTTTGTGGTGGCCAAGACTGGGATTACTACAAAGTTAAAAAAAACTGGGAAATCTCTTGTATCACAAATTTGCAAATTAGTATACAGGTCCTTTTGCCATTCAAACTTGTGAGGGAAAAAAAACACATTTGTTTCTTTAGGATGCTGTAAGACTGTAATGTTAAATCTTAGTATTCATTCTGAATAACTTTGTATTTGTTACATATATTTATAGCTCATTCTTTGCTTTTTGCTATAAATTCCAGAGGAAGAAGATTCAAATGACCATTGACCACACAACTTATTTACCACACAATTTATAATTCTGAATAAACTTCTTGGTATAGAGATGTAGCTTTATCTTAAACAATTTTATGCTATGTAAAAAGTAGAGAGGAGAGTATTTTGGATTACAAAATCAGCAAGAACCCAATATTAGGCTTTAGCTTGCTGCATAAAAGTGCTAATAAACAGATCACTTTGGCATTTTTAAATAAAATTGCTAAAATTTGGAAACATTGGGTTACCTTTAAAACAATGTTAAAATCTCGAGTTTCTATTATTTGCTCTAATAAAACACTAATATAATATAAAAAATTAAGCACAAATTTTGTGCCCAAGTTTACAGTTCCTGAATTGACTAGATAGGATAATAAGTGGCATCACAGCTAAGAGGGCTCCAAAATTCCTAGAGAATAAATAAAATGTCTTAAGGATTTATTTGTTATACTCTTGGAGATCTAAGTTTATAAAGATGATTTTATTTATATCTCACTGTGGAGAGACAGAGAATGGGTTGACCTTACTTAAGGTGGAAATTTAAGAGAAAATTGCAGCAGGATATATGTGAGGTTAGTTTTGGCTTGAGGTGCTAGGTAAGGAGTCAGCAAGCAGGTATATATTTGAAATGATGAGACAAACTCAGCAAGAGTTCAGAGTTGTTAGTTTACTTGGTTGAAAAGATGACATTTAAAAGCAAGAAAGGATACAAGACTGACTACAAAAAGGATCGGAGGTAGCCTTTGGAGAAACACTAGTACTTGATATGCAATGGGAAGAGAAATCAGCCAAGAATGTATGTAGATAAGAGGAACTTATCAATGCCATCATGAAAGCAAGGGGAAGTAAGTAACTCAGAATAAGAAAATACTGTTTATATCTGTGATGACTCTGCAGAAGAGCAGGAGAAGGACTGACTTTTGAGGGGTGATGCAGAGCAGTCAGAATAAATCTATAGAGCAAGCAATGGTTGCCAGCAAGCTCGGCAGAGTTTCCTTTCAGTCTCTTGGTGAAGGGGAAAGAGCAACAAGATTTAGGGGAGCTATTTTTTTGAACAGGGAAAACCTTACCGTAAAAAGAAAAAGAGAAAATAAACAAAAGACAGTGCGAATAAAATAAAATAGGATAAAACAATAGTCTAATGGAGTAGAAGAGAGTGATTTTAATTCTTACTTTCTAGCCTCACAACATTCATGCAGTAAATAAAAAGGTGACTTTCAAGATAAATATAATCTTGCTAAAGTCAATGCTACAGAAATGTCTTGCCACAGATCCTGAGATTTTAGACTGATCAAATATTAATTTGTTACTCAAATTTCTTAATAGTAAAATATTAACTGCATTAGTGTTAAAAGGTATAAAACAGTAAATTTATAGCAACACAAACAAATGCAAATGAAGTAAAATATTTAACATTGGTCACAAAGCTAGCATGACTAAAATGAAAAATGGCACTTACAACACAAATTATCTTATACTTACAACACAAATGATTTTATACTTCTTAACAGTGCTCTTTTTAACAGTTTCTTCTGTTAAAGTCAGCATAGAATCCATTGTCTTGATAGCTGCAGAAACCTGTTTTACCAGAAGACAGTAGTACTCCTTCCTTTTTCCAGCCCAGCAAAGAGAAACTAACTAGCTAGATCGCTGTGCCTGAATTTAAACCTGGGACGATCACAGCCCTTTAGTGATTGGACAGTTTTGAGAAAAGAAAAAAGTAATGACAATAGTGCCAAGAGATAAGTCCGTTTTTAGTAGATTACTTTTTTTTGCTCTCCTTACAGCTTATGCTAAATACTAATGAAAATATTTGTAACAAATGCATTTTAAAAATTTATTTTCTTTAAAAATAACCCGAAAAAGGCTTTATTATGGAAATTCCAGGGAGTTTTGCAGTGATACAAACTTCATGTCACATTTTAAAACCTGGATATTAATCATTGCAGGAATTTTGAAACTCTGCTGGCTCTATAAAAATTATTTAATTTTGTGAAAAATATGTCGTGAATCTCAGTGTTTACAATCTGATGTGTTTCTATACACATTATCTCAAGTCAAACCTAACAAAATTTCTTATAAACACTTTATCCCTGCTATGTAAACGAGTAAGGCTCTGATTACTACAATTATGTAACTTTCTTGACCTAAATCACATATTGATAGATTCCAGATATGGAAGATAAACTCAAGAATTCTGAACTCTCAAATCCAAGTCAGTTTGCACCAATCAGTTAAATTTGCTCTTTTCTTATTTCTGTGGCTTAAGAAATCCACATTCAGGTCCTTCCTGCTGAGAAGAGTCTCACTCATTCATGATAAAAGATGTTAATTAACAGTGTGGTCAAAAAGTTAATAGTTAAGTCCAGCTTAAAGTGCTGGATTTTAAGCTATTCTAATAATTTTCAAATTGTGAATCCATGGAATATTATTCTTAAGGTAACTTCCTCAGTATAAATAAAGCTTGAGAACTCTCTTCTAATACAAAGATTGTAAAAATTTTATGGACTGGTACATTACTTGCAAAACCCTAAACTATTCTTATCCTGAAAGCAGTGAAAAGAAATAGGAACAAAATCCATCTTAATAAACAGTGACTCATGTGTTTAGAATATTTGGTAATCTTATGAGTCTTCACCCTTAAAGAAACATCTGGTGGTATGAAAGCCACATTTTTTCTACAGCTTTAAAGGATTATGCTTTTTTTTTTTTTTTTTGCTATCACTCTCTCAGTGCAATGTACCCCCATTGCACTGGTTCCATCTAGGGGCAGAACCACCAGAAGTATGGACATTAGATCACAGAAGGAATTAATTCAGAACCAGAAGATGCAAACCATATGTTCCAGGATCTTACAGACCTTTATCCCTGTACCACAGGGAAGCAGAAATGAACAAAAACTTCTTTGAAGAATTTTGGTGAGTAGTTCTCAACACTGAATAAAATCAGAAAACCCCCAAATAATTTTTTTTAATTTTAATATTTTGAATTCCAAAGTCCAGGCTGCATATCAGTTGAATGGCAATCTCCTAATATTTTGCCTGAGGTAACTGTATTTTTTAAATACCCCTCCAAGCAATCTCCTTTAAGAGCTAAATTTACTTTGAGTTAAATTTAGAATTCTCTTCCTCATTCACAGGATTCTAATCAAACTTACATATTTCACAGATAAAAGGGCTTAATCACACCCAAGTTCCCCTTGTCTGGTGCTATCTCAGATATGAGATGCCACAGGATCTTCAGATGCCTATTTCAGGGTGCCCATTTCCTATTACGGTGGTACCACATTGTATATGAAAATGAAAAATCAAATCTATACCAAAATTTCTTTCAAAATTAGGAGACTCCTAGCACCTGTGGTTTTGACTAGTTATCTGACAAGCGCCGTTGGTTTTTCTGGCTTTCTGGGTTTTAACTGCCTATTTGCACTTAGTAACAATCTCACCGAGTCTGCCCTCCCTCTGGTTCATCACACTCCTACTTTCTGAATCTTCCTTTCCACGATGGTTAATTTTGTGTGCCAACTTCCCACTTAGTCAACATTAGAGTCTTGCTTCGACTTTTTTTTTTTTTTTTAAGATTTACATATGCATACAAGAGCTGGGTGCAGGCCAGGGTGACAGGATTCACCAGAGACAGAGTGGGGAGCAGAACAGGTAAATGGACTGCAGCAGTCAAGACAGGAGAGGTCTGCTGCCTGAAGTGGGTCAGCTGCCTGGCTGGAGATCGAACTCATGCTGTGGTGGCTGCCAATAGCTTCACAGTGAAGATGACTTAACCCTTTGTGTCACCAGGGAATCCTACTTTGACTCATCTTTACCTCTCCTCCTCATTTGGGCCTCTAGGTCGCAATCTATGCTCTTGGATTCTGACCAACTTGATTTTTTATTCCTTCTCTTGACAGTCCTATAATAATTTGTGTACCTCAACTCCAGAATGGTTTTGATATCCCAGATACACTTTTAGCCTTTGCTTCCTGGTCTTCAAAGGTGTCACTTCATTCTATTCCAGCTTTTGCGCCACAGTTCCACTGATCCCGGCTCTGCATTTTTAGTATGTGGCTTACTACCTCCCACCTGCCAGAACCATTTTCCACTCTTCTATCAGCCTCCCTGCTTCCCTCCCCCTCTCAACATCAGTCACACAGAAAAAAATAATCTAATAAGGGAGTCAGGAGGTGTTGATAAAGTCTTATGTCTGTCATTTACACGGTAATCAGCTCTTGACATTGAATTCTACATTTGAAAGGTGATCTCAGATTATCTTTAAATGATTACATTTGGTATATTATAATGGAGAAAGGTCTTAATTTTCAGTTCCTGATGAGAGTGAAGTTCAAATAATTGAGTTGGTGCACATACTGGCAGACATAGTGGAAATGTTGGCATGGCCCAGTCTCTAGTTAGGTTTTCTGCTAACAGACTGCCCAAATCATCTAGAGTAAAACCTACTTTCTATGTAACTTGAACCTGGGAAGTATTGCTCAATATTCTTTTTCCCCTTCAACCTTAAACAAATTATACTTTCTGAGTTCAGAAAGACTTACTCTGCATATTATAATGCCTAAGGTCTAGAACACCTGTGCTATTTGTGCTACTGGTATATCCCCAAATAACCATTTCTCACATTCTACAAAGGCTTCTTTGTTTACAAATTCTAACAATTACTCTAAAGTCACAGAAAACCCTACCATGCTGGGAAATCCCCGGGTCCTACCAACATCAACTTCCTTGGGTCTTATAAACTTGTTTCCTAACCTACCCCTCCTGGTTCTAGCACTAGAGATTGGGAGGTAGGTGGATGAGGCTGACTACAAGTGTCTAAGACTAACACACTGGGGGACCGGAGTGGGCACAATAAAAGTGAGTCAGATACTCAGTTCAGATTCAGTAACAGAAAGGCACCCACCATGGCAAGGAGACCTCAAATAGCAGTGCAGAAATGTGGGGGCAAGTAGCCAACATCAGGAGAAGATGTAGAAAAACCTACAGCAAGATTGACAAGCGAGGCAAGCCTGGCAGATACTAACCCTTGGCAAGTTGTAACCCAGTATTGGAGCTAAGTCTATGACCTGTCATCTATGGGAGACTGGTGTTAGCAGTGACAAATGAGTGCAAAGGGGCGCGGTATACATAAAGAGATGATGCAAAATCTCAGCCTGGGACATAGGATCCAAGTTCTTATGAGTCAAATGTGCTGAATTACTAGACATTCAAGCCATAACTATAATAAAGCAAAATCAAAATCAATGCTTTTGGACAGTATGTATATATGCAAAAAGCATTTTGCAGTATGTATATATGCAAAAAGACATTTTCAAGATGAAATGCAATCCTATTTTCAATCAGCACAGATGAATATGTATTATCAATCTGGAGATAGAGAATGATAATTCTGAACTTCAAGTAAACAAAATATCATTTCCTAACCCAGAAGCAAAAGGGTTCCATTCTTCTCATTAGTAGATCTGTTATTATCCCCCCAACACCCTATTACAATATTTTTAATTGAATCCAAAAATGCAAGTATACATACCTGGACTTTGCATACATGTCAACATAAAATGGTTTTGCCTCTTGGCCCACAAAGCTTAAGATACATATTATCTGGTGCTTAACAGTACTGTGGAACCCTGATCTACAATTTATTCTCTAAGTTGCAAATGCTGGCTTTAATGTACTCAGTCAGAGAAAAGAGCCAAAATTATTATCTCTAATTATTCAAAAAACTCAGAGAGCTGATCTGATGTCTCCTGTGGCACCACAATTATTTGCTACCTAATACTCAACATTTCAGAGGTGGTCTCTGTCCTTAAGGATGCTTCTCTCACTTTGCATCGAAACCTGCCCCACAAGAGTTAGAATTCTCTCTGATTCATTTCAAAAGTCAGATTGATTTTATTTCTAAAATTTTTCAAAGCAATAGCGGGCTCTTATTTTTTAGTATTTTTTAAAAGATTAATTTATTTATGCATACAGAAATGGGGTACAGGCCAGAGATGCGGAGGGTGAGAGGATTTATCAGAGACAGAGTGGAGAGCAGAACAGGCAGACTGACAAAGTAAACACTGAGGAGAAGAGTGGGAAGATAGAAGAGGTTCAGCTGCACTATGTGGGTCACCTCTCTGACCAGGAATTGAATGTGTGCTGATGGGCCTGCTGCTGGCTTTGTACTCTTAGCCACTGTGCCACAAGGAAGAGTCCCAGTTTTTTAGTGTTCTTAAACGGGCCTCCTGCATGACTCAGATCTCTAGAAAAGCCCTCCTGAAATCAGAGCGCCATTTTGCCAGCTGAGGTTTCCACACTTTGCAGAGCTGTTCTACAAGTGTCCACTCCTGAAGGGACAGGCCCTGTGCCAACTTTACTCTCTGAACGCTGGAAGGAATTCATTTACTTCCCCAAGCCCTGGCATCCCATACTAACTCCATGAAGGCAAAGACTAGGCTAGTGTGGACTTGTTCTGGTATCTAACACAATGACCAGGAAGACATTCAGTGAATGCTTCCTGAATAAATTATTGAATGGATTTAGAAATAATATCAGTGGTCTAAGTCCAACTTATCAATATCTAGTGAAACAAATTGTTATTAATTATGATCACCTTA